TAATCGCGTTGTGATGGGTGGGAGAGGTGGATACGTTCGAGTTAGTGGTGTGAGGGGATATTCATCGACACCAGGCTCTGGCTGAAGCATATAGTTCCTTCGCTTGCTACTATGGATCTCCTCACTTCTCCAATCCATTCACTTCAGACATTCTCTATCTCGGCACCCTCAAGTATCCGGACTTTTGTTTATTGCATAAATTGTATTTCTTGGTTGTGGTTTTGCGGTTACTGGTGTCGGGCCATGCGAAGGGGCTGATCAATGCACCACCAATGTGATCGATCGATCATGATCCGTGGGTGATGTGATAGGCACATATACTCTTGGAATCCTACGCCAGCTAGCTGGTGCACAGTGTTCATGCCACGTTGGCACACCATGGTCCATCTCGCAATTATTGGAGGCATGTATATAATATTACGAAGTCATAGAGGCTGGAGTCCTGCCTAGGAGGCACGCCAGCAATTGCGGGACATGGATTCGTTCAGTCGAGTCAAACATATGTATGCCGTGATTTTGTGGGTGCTGGTGCCACTCAGACACGAATACGCTCATGGCTTAATTCATCACTGTTCTGAACGATTGGGCAGGATACTGGCCTCTATTGAACGATTAATATAACCAGACTGAGAAAGGAAGCAAACTAGAAATGTGCTGAAGTAAATAATCCAGATCCTACGTCCTGGGGCAAGCCAGATGCATGACCTGTCGACCAACGCATGACACACTTTCGCTATCGCACGGACCTGGATGGGCACAATTGACTGGGAGAACAACATGCACCGGCTTGCGCCGGAGCTTGGCACAGCGAATTGAACAAGGTGAATCCTTATTTGGCTTGGGAATAATACCTCATTTGTTCTCACCTCCTATCTCCCTCTCCTGCGCTCATACCATGTTATTTTCTCTAGCAGTGGTGGTGCTGGCGCCGAGCGTCGCTGCCTTCTACATCATGTGGCCGGCACAAGTTCTGCAGGGAACGAACCGCTCTGTTCAGTGGCATGACGGTGTTGTAACATAGATTCCTGCCAATGTATTGCCCAGTGTTTTGCTGAGGCGCTTTCTCTATTACTCCAAGCCACCATATGAGCTCGATGTCGACAGTGTGCTGCCTCCGTCACTAATACCAGGGACTCGTGGTAACTGACATCCTGTCCTCGCCTCCAACAGCCTTTACCCAACGAAAAGGCTGTACACCTACGTTGGTGACGACTGGGCTGTGTATTGGTACGCCGACCTGTTCTCGTGGTGCCAGTCAGTCAATCATGTTGCACCAACAGGGTCATAGATGTGCTGCCAGGGACGGTCATCCGGTACAGCGTCACGGATTCTGCTGGTATGACTGAGAAATTTCTGGAGGCTTAAAGTCTGAATGTGTCCATTTTTTAGGAGAACAGTCCAACAGCTCGGAGCTAACTGTTCAGGTGAGGATTTTATCGCAACTGGGATTTCAAAACGATGCTTAAAATTACGTCGAGCCCAACCCCATCTTAACTACAGCCTCTTTGATGTCAATAAGTGTTGGTATCCCAATAATCTGCAGTTTTCTACGTTTTCAGGCTTATTTCCGCAAATTCGCAGTCATTGGCTTCTGTGTCTTCAGTCAGCGTAATTTCCACCAGTTCCACTGGTACTCCCAGTAAATACTACATACGCCTCAAATTGGACGTTTTCCAAACTATTTCTCTACAGATCTCCACCCACTCAAACCCATCATCCACACTGTCTAAAACTTCCAACTCTCCATCTCCAACACAAAAATCTTCGGGAGGGAGCAGTAACACTAGAGTAATAGTCGTAGGCGCTGTTGGGGGTGCGGTTGCCGTGTTGCTCATCGGCCTTGGGGCTTTCTTCTTGTTAAAGCGACGAAAAGGTTATTCCAGAGGGAGGGACGACGCGTTTGAAGAGCCCTATACGATTTATCCCATTGGTTACGCTCAAGTTGCCACCCAAAACGTTCCTTCACCCAGCAAGAATACACCACTGGACGCTATTCCGCCCCGGTTCCCGAGTGATATTGTGGGTCCTACGGAAGTTTTCTGTCTTTCAGACGACAACAGGCAGTATGATGACTGCACCCACCAACGAGGATGAGGAGTATTACAAACGTGTTGTGAAGGGTGGGAGAAGTGGATACATTGGGCTCGGCGATGCGAGGGAATATTCTTCGACACCTCCAGGATCTGGCTGAAGCATACAGTTTGCCAGCTCTTGCACTTGCTACCTCGGATCTTCTCACCTTCCCTTCAGACATTCTCTATCTCAGCATTCTCAGAATCTGGACTTCTGCTGCGCTGTGTTTTAGTATTTATTGCATAAACTGTATTCCCCGCTTGTGATTTTGCGGTTACTGGCGTTGACCTGGCCAGGCGGAGGGACCGCCCCGTGCACCCTTGCAATGTTCGCACCAATGTGGTTGATCGATCACGATTTGTGGGTGATATGATAGGGCATACACACTCTTGGGGCTATGCCTGGTGTTCGCTGCTCTCACTATCATGTGGCCAAATGAAGTCCTGGAGGGAACCAACCGCTCTGTTTAGTGGCCTGGTGGCATTGTAACGTAGATTTCCGCTAATGCATTGCCCGTTGTTTGGCTAAGGCGCTTTTTTCTATTACTCCAAGCCACCATACGAACTCGATATCAGTAGGTGTGCTATATTATCCGCTGCTGAGATGAAATGCTCGGGGAAATTGATGATACTCCGCTCCAACCAGCCTTTACCCAACGAAAAGGCTGGGTACCTGTATTGGCAACGACCCAATCTTGTACTGGTACGTCGACCTATCCTCGTGGCGCTAATCAGCCATCCATGTTACACCAACAGGTACATAGACGTGCCGCCAGGGAAAAACAATGTCACTGATTCCGTCGGTATGACTGAGGATGCGTAACGTGCCAACTCCAGGGACACACATCAACAGCACGACACTGACCGTTCAGGTGAGGATTTATTATAGCCAGAAAGTCCCAAAGGAGCTTAAATCAAGCTCCCAAGCTGTCCCACATACGAGTACGCTCAGGCTTAATTCATCAGGATACCAGCCTCGATTGAACAATTAACTAGACCGAGAAAGGAAGCAAACTTAAAATATACTCGCGTGGTTGAAGTAAATATTCCAGACTTTACGTCCTGGGGTAGCATGGCAAACCAGATGCACGACGGTACCTGCCGATTGCCCTCGACCAACGCATGGCTCACTTTCGCTATTACACGGGCCTGGGTGGCACAATTGACTGGGAACAACATGCACCGGCTTGCGCCGGAGCTTGTGGCACAGCGAATTAAAATATCGGCGCAAGATGATCCTTTCCTGATTTGGCTTGGGAATAGTACCTCATTTGTTCTTCCTTCTCCCTCTCCTGCGCTCATACCATGTTATTTTCTCTAGCAGTAGTGGTGCTGGCGCCGAGCGTCGCTGCCTTCTACATCATGTGGCCGGCACAAGTTCTGCAGGGAACGAACCGCTCTGTTCAGTGGCATGACGGTGTTGTAACGTAGATTTCTGTCAATGTATTGCCCAGTGTTTTGCTGAGGCGCTTTCTCTATTACTCCAAGCCACCATATGAGCTCGATGTCGACAGGTGTGCTGCCTCCGTCACTAATGCCAGGGAGTCGTGGTAACTGATGACATCCTGTCCTCGCCTCCAACAGCCTTTACCCAACGAAAAGGCTGTACACCTACGTTGGTGACGACTGGGTTGTGTATTGGTACGCTGACCTGTTCTCGTGATGCCAGTCAGTCACCCACGTTACACCAACAGGGTCATAGATGTTCTGCCAGGGACGGTCATCCGGTACAGTGTCACGGATTCTGCTGGTATGACTGAGAAATTTCTGGAGGCTTAAAAAGTCTGAATGTGCCCATCTTTAGGAGAACAGTCCAACAGCTCGGAGCTGACTATTCAGGTGAGGATTTTATCGCAACTGGGATTCCAAAACGATGCTTAAAATTACGTCGAGCCCAACCCCATTTTAACTACAGCCTCTTTGATGTCAATAAGTGTTGGTATCCCAATAATCTGCAGTTCTCTACGTTTTCGGGCTTATTTCCGCAAATCTGCAGTCATTGGTTTCTGTGTCTTCAGTCAGCGTAATTTCCACCAGTTCTACTGGTACTCCAGTGAATACTACATACTCTTCAAATTGGACGTTTTTAAAAACTATTTCTCTACAGATCTCCACCCACTCAAACCCATCATCCACACTGTCTAAAACTTCCAACTCTCCATCTCCGACACAAACATCTTCGGGCGGGAGCAGTAATACAAGAGTAATAGCCGGAGGCGCTGTTGGGGGTGCCATTGCTCTGTTACTCATTGGCATTGGGGCTTTCTTCTTGTTAAAGCAACGAAAAGATTATTCTAGAGGGAGGGACGACGCGTTTGAAGAGCCGTATACTGTTTATCCCATTGGTTACGCCACCCAAAACGTTCCTTCGCCCGGCGGGAACCCACCACTGGACGCTATTCCGCTACGGTTCCCGGATAATGCTGTGGGTCCTTCTGTCTTTCAAGCGACAACAGGTAGTATGATGACTGCACCCACCAACGAGGATGAGGAGTATTACAAACGTGTTGTGAAGGGTGGGGGAAGTGGATACGTTGGGTTCGGCAATACGAGGGAATATTCTTCGACACCTCCAGGATCTGGCTGAAGCATACAGTTTGCCGACTCCTTCGCTTGCTACCGTGGATCTTCTCACCTCCCCAGTCCATTCCCTTCAGACATTCTCTATCTCAGCATTCTCAGCATCTGGACTGCTGCTGGGCTGTGTTTTAGTATTTATTGCATAAACTGTATTCTCCAGTTGTGATTTTGCGGTTTCTGGCGTTCACCTGACCAAGCGGAGGGGCCGACACCCCGTGTACCAATGTGATTAATCGATCATGATTCGTGGGTGATATGATAGTGCATACCGGGACCACACCTTGTGTTCGCCTGCACACCATCTCGACATCTGCTTCGTAGCAATTCAGTTCTGACACTATATATTGCCTTATTCAGTCTCTCGGGGAAGCGGCACCGTGGATTCGCGTCAATATATAACTGCCGCCTGGATTTCATAATCTCTCGGAAGTGAGTCACGATCCCAGAATCTTTCACACGGCAACTGCCATCTAGGTGACCAGCCTTCTCTTCATCTAAGTTATCGTGAGGGGCGCTAGTGCCGCTTGGATATGAGAGTGCGTTAATGGCCGTTCTGAATGATTGATCGACTGTCTAGAATTGATGTTTGTTTTACATGGAAACGAGCACTCCTGTGGCACTCTGCATCTGACCCTTGATCCCAACTTCGGCTGCATTCACCCTGGCTTAACGAGTGCCTCTCTCTTTTGATCCTCGTTGCGAGCGATTCTTCGTTGATCGATATGCAACTTCCCTCCACCCACCTAGTTTTGTCTTGTGCCTTTTATTTCAACTGCGTGTGTTGACGCTGCGACCACCAATTTCTGCCTGGTTGGTGCGCAAATGAATATCAACATTCCCTGCCGTCCCTCGATCCCCTTCTGGCACTGTGTGCGTCTCTCAGCATACTATGTTCAATCCATATAATGAAAGCGCAGATGGCTTAACTTGCTGGTGGAGTTCGGCAGGGACGGCTAGGCCGCTCAAATGACGCGACAGTTACTGATGCAAAAAAGATAGCATGGGGTGCTGGTCGGTAAATAGGATGTTTGATATAAGGCACCGGGCTGGCGGCCTACAAATCAGCGGACAGTCTGGCCGCAAATCCAAAAAAGAGTGTCTCACTGCCCCCATTCGAATAAACATGACACTTTGCATCAGCCACATGGGTGAAGATTCCTGTCGGTACTCGGCTGACACGCGGATAGTCATAGCCAGATGTCCCTCATGTAGCAAACTTGAACGGCTGTGTCGCGCAACGAGATGTCTGTGACACCGTTAGGATACTCAGAAACCTCTACACAAAATGGGAACAGACGTAGATACCATTTACTGCAGCTCCACTTGGGTCCATTTTCTTCGGGGGATAGGCCTTTTCTGACGCAGCGTTACCTTTCGTGCTCGGAATCCATGAATAGTTGCCGGGCGAACTTTGGGCTGACCCGACGAGAAGGCTGTTACGCCTATTTCGGCACGCGCCTTGTGCCACATAACCTCGTGTCCCTGGGTAGCCGCCCATGTTTGCACCAACAGGGTCACAGACGCGCCGCCGGACCTCGTACAATGTTACAGATTCTAGGGGTATGACTGGGTAGTTCCCAGAGGCTCACCAGGCTCAATGTGTTCATCTTTGGGGATTCACGTCAATAGTGCGGCGCTGACTGTCCAGGTGAAGACTTCGTTGAAGCAGAATTCCCAAAAGTAAGCACTCGGTCTTTCCTAAGTCAAGCCCAATCCTTTGCAGTCGATGAGTGTTAGCCTTATCCCGATATTGGGTAGTTTCTTACGGTTTGGGGCTTGCCTCCCCAATTCATAGTCAACACCATGGCATCTATAACTCCAATCAGTCCAGCGTTCCTGACGACCGGGTATATACCGTACATCCTTTAAACTGAACGTTCTCCGTTCATCCTGTTACTTGCCGACAGACCTCCACTAGAATCCAACCCCCACACTACCTAAGGCTTCTAACTCTGCGTCTCCGACACAAAGCGCTGAGGTAATGGTCGGAGGCGCCGCCGGGGGTGCCGTTGCTCTGTACCTCATTAGGATTGCGGCTTTTGTTCTGCTAAGACGACGAAAGAGGAGAATGATGCATCTGAAGGCCTCCATAACATTTATCCCAGCCTGAGTGATTAAGCTCTAGTTACCATCCAAAGCATTCCTTTATCGGTTCAGGGCAGACTATTGCGCGCTGTGCCGTTGTCGCACCCGAGTGTTGTTGCTGCGGGACTTTCAGGGGTTTCTATTTTCCGAGGTACAACAGGTACTAGGAAGATGGCACCCACTAACTCGGACGGAGCATATTACAATCGCGTCGGAGAAATGGATACGTTTGGGTTGACAACATGAGGCCGTTGGCAGATAGACCGACCTTCGTGATGAGAGCAGAATTCCTTGTTTAAAGAATTCGGAACTCAAGGACAAGGTTTTGATTGCTCAAGTCCGCCCTTGTTACTTTACACTGACAAACATGTATCTAAGTCCAATTCCTACTGCCTCCATAACCACCGAAGCGTGTGGTATCAGAGCACGGTGCTATGATTTTGCCAAAAAAAAAAAAAATTGGAATCCCCGAGGAACGCGCACATATTTCCTTTTGCTCCACATCTTCTCGGCGGGTTTTCATGCAACTCCTCTGGCTTGTAGTCGATCTGGGAGCCCCCCTACTTGATGCACAATACCTATCTCAGCAGCATCTCTGCGTTGCCAGTGTCGGGATAGACAACCCCTACGGTCGTATTTTCGATGTAATTCGTATAGACTACATTTTTATGTGTGGCTTGTGATTGCCAGCGCAGCGTTAGAATCAAGCGAAGAGGTTAGGTAGGTTACCAGGAATACAGTAGGATTGATCGGTCATGCATGATTGAGTTCGCGCCTCGGATCATGCTGACTGAACGTAACGCGCAAAACAGTCATGTGCACATAAACCTTATGTCAGCCCTTCAAGTGCTCTCAGAGAGATAAACCGAACGGCTGATGTGGGGGTTAGCGTGCCGAAAGCTATGCCAATAGATAAATAACTTTCGCCACCATTGTCTATTGTGTTGATTACATAGGCCCACAGCAACCTTTTTCCATACGGTGCAGCGTCGTTCTTGCCGATCTAAGGAATTTGTGGCTGGACTATATACGTCCGACTCAGCATCTAGTTTACGCCTTGATGGTTTCGTAGATGGGCGCTAAGCGCGGCGTGCTCACTGTCGATCGCCCTCGACCAATGTATGACTGGTTTCTATGCGTGTGCTTCATCACACGGACGTGAGCATGCGCAATATTGGCCAGGCGACCGACATGCAATCTGCCCCCCACGTCCCCCGAGCTTTCCCCAGGGGATCGTGGCTGAGGTCCCTGAGTGATTTCTTGATTGACTCAATTGTGTGCTTCTCTGGTTGTCTTGCTTTCTTCCTCGCTTTCTCCCTCTACCTCCTTCCTTCTCCCTGACTCGCGCTCTATCATGTTGTTTCCTCTAGCAGTCGTGGTGTTGATACCCTATGCCACTGCAATCACCATCATGTGGCCGGTGCAGGTCATGCAGGGGACGAACCGCTCTGTTCAGTGGTCTGGCGGAATTGTAACGTAGATTTCTGCAACCACATTTCCATCGTTTTCTCAGGCGATTTCTTCTACTACTCCAAGGAACCTTACGAACTCGATGTCAACAGGTGTGCCGCCTACGTTACTAAGATCAAGGACTTGCGATAATCCGTTTTCGCCTCTGGCTAGCCTCAACCCAACGCAGAGGCTGCACACCTACATCGGAAACGACCTTGTATTGTACTGGTATGCTGACCGATCCTCGTGGTGCCATTCAGCCTTCCATGTTTCACCAATAGGGTTATAGATGTGCCACCGGGGACGCTCATCCAGTATAATGTCACGGATTCTGGTGGTATGACTGAGTAGTTTCTGGGGATTTAACGAGGCTCAATTTGCCCATCTTCAGGGGCACACATCAACAGCACAGCGCTGACTGTCCAGGTGAGAATTTTATTGCCGCCGAGTTTCCGAAATTGAGCACCCAATTTGTCCCGTGTCAAGCCCAACCCAATCTTATCTAGCATCTCTTTGCTGTCGACCCTTGTTAGTATATCATTGTTCTGTAGTTATCTGGGCTTACCTCTTGAATTCACAGTCAGCACAATCTTTGGCTTCTGTATCTTCAGTCAGCGTAACTTCCCACAGTTCTACTAGTTCTCAGGTGAATACCTGCGCATTCTGCAGACCGGACGCCCCTAATTATTTGTCCACAGACCTCCACCAACCCACAGCCAACATCCACACAATCCAAAACTTCTGGCTTCTCATCTCCGACACAAACGTCTTCAGGTGGAGGCAATAGCACCTTTTCGATATCGACAAGTGTCAGTCTCCTAATAATCTGCGGTTATACACTTTGTTGAGCTTACCTCCCATCTTCGCAATCAACGCAGTTATTAGCTTCCATCTCTTCAGCCAGTGTAGTTTCCACCAACTCTACAGGCGCCCTGGTAAATATTGCATATTCTTCAAGCTGGACACTCTCCGTTCATCCTCATTACTTGTCCGCAGCCCTCTACTAACTCGAATCCTACATCCACATCAACTGCAATATCCAACCCTTCAGCTCCGACCCAATCGCCTTCGAGCAGGCGCCACGGCACTTGGGCAATAGCCGTCGGGGTTTCTGTCGTTCTGTTGCTCCTTGGCCTTGGCGCTTTCTTTTTGATAAGACGACGAAAGGGTCGTTCCAAAGAGAAGGATGATGCATTTGAAAGCCCGCATACAATTTATCCCCATGTTCACGCTCCAGTCGTCACCCAGAACACATCAGTGGACGTTGTTCCACCTTTGTACCCGAACGATGTTTTTGCGCCTTCTGCCTTCCGAGGGACAGCGGGAAGTATGATGACGGCACCCACCAACTCAGACGAAGTGTATTACAATCGCGTTGTAATGGGTGGGAGTGGCGGATACCTTCGGGCTAACGATACGTCAAGTTAATCATCAGCACTGGGGAACTAATTATTTTCCAACTCCCTCGCTTGCTAACATGGACCTTCTCACTTGATTCGTTCGCTTCGCGTTATCTCTATTGCTGCATTGCTTGGTATCTGGACTGTTACGTCCTTGATATTTTTTTTGAATGTCCCCCGGCGTTTGGACCGGGCGAAAGGGTTGATCCTTCGTATGTGTCTGTGCAACGCGCGCGCGCGCAACCGTTTCGCTGATCGGTCATGATCTGTCGGTGGTACAATAGTCTACACTCTTGGCCGGATCCAATTTTGGTCTTTAGCCCCTCGATTCAGTAGTATTAGAATTGAGTCTTAACAACCAACACTATGTAATTACAGCACTATGGGATATCTTTCAATTAGCCCTCGATGTTGTGGAAGCGGTGCCGTGGACTGATCATGCATGGAGTGATTGATATAGCCGTCCGATATTCGCTAATATAATGCCCATTGGGCGCGCCTGAATTAATTATTTAATCGAGTTCGAGAAGTTATTTTACAGGCACTGCGCGTGGGCAAGCTGAGTGCATGGTCTCATCTAACTCATGAGCGGATGCGGGGGCGCTCAAGGTTTCATGTCCTAGGTATGCATATAGCAAGCATCCTAATGGCGCTCCTGAATAATTGGTTGACTGTCTGGATCGAATTCTAGCTTAACAAGATTTTGTTGTCTAAAAGTGCACTCAGCACAGAAAGGTTTCAGTTAAGCTCACGTTTTTCGCTCACAATCGTGAGTCCCTTCTCGATCTCAGGGATGCTTCACGCGCCTGGGGGATTTACTGAACGTCTTTAGACCCCTGGTTCCACATATCCCATATCAATGCTCGCAAGATGAAGTCTCTCTTCTTTGGACACTCTCACAGATAGCATTGCTCGTGTCCCACTAGGCTACACACAAGGTACAGAGCACGAAAGCAGTTGTCCGCACCCAGTCTCCCGGGAGACAGACCAAGTATCCCCTTTGGGTTTGTTGCGATCCTCTCGAAGGAAGGCCTTGATTTTTGATTTCCCATTCTACGGTCGAGCCCACGGCATCCCACAGACTCGCAAGTCTGCCGCACCTGGCTGTGCGGCAGAGTACAGGAACTGATGGGCAGTGTGCTCTAGATGGTTTCGGCTAACTGCAGCGTGGTAGTGATCAGATATTCATCGCTCTAAGTACGGAGACAGTTCCAGCAGTGTGAGTCATCTCTTAAGTCCATTGTTAATAGAATATCTGGGATCTGGGATGATACTCGGTTATGATCAGTTCTACCTGTCCGACACCAGTATGCCGAGGCTCCCTTTGCCCTTACGTAGATATTGGGTAACATCGTCGTGAAAATTTCTCCACTATCTGAGAGCGAGGCTGGAGAGCTAAGGGCTATATAGAAATACAGTGGCCAAGGAGAACCAAGCCGTAGCGGTGCTACCCACTGAGAAGACAAAGGCCCGATTGTCTAATGTCATCTTACACAGAATGTGCGCCAAAAACGTGGAGAGTATAGGCAAGGCCAAGCAGGAAGAGAGAGATTTGGATCAGCTTTACGCAGGGCCCAGCGGTGGACGCCCTTCCGGGTCGAGAGGGGCTCGAGGACTGGCATAACAGTAAACGTAAGATCTGTGATGTGAAAGATGGGACGGGCCCTCCTGGGCCATGGGCTCAACTGTTATTCTGTTGAGGTACCTCCCTTGTGAATGCACAGCCGATTTACGCGTTTTGAGTCATATTCGCGGCAGCCAAGGATCAAGATTGGCGCCTGTAGGTGTCCGCACATCGTATTAAAAGGGTCGAAATAAATTATTTCGAAGTAGGGTTTGATGGAGGACGTGCATCCTCCTGGCAGCTTTCACCTAAAGGAGGGGTGTGTTCAAGTTTACTGTGCACAACGCGTACTCGGACGTTTCAAATTCAAAAGCGCAACCAAGACGTTGCAGGCTGTCTATTCCCAATTGTATTGATTACGTAGGTGTTCACAACTATTCAGTAAAGTGCGTCCTAGTATAGGTGGGCGCCTACGCCTGACGTGGCGCTGTTGATCGCTCTGGACTATTGCATGTTCGGTTTTCCATCATTGGGCTGTGAGCAGTCGCGCTGCAACGGTTGCACTTGCATTGGAGGAATTGAATGGTTCTGAATGATTCCTTGATTTGGCTTAGTTGTTTAAGGCCTCTTTGCACCTTTCCTTCTCCCTCTCCCGCGCTCGTATGATGTTGTTTCCTCTAGCAGTTGCAGTTCTGGCACTAATGCCGAGCATCACTGGCCTTAAGATCATGTGGCCGACACAAGTTCTACAGGGAACGAACCGCTCTGTTCGGTGGTCTGACGGTATTGTAATGCTGATCTCTGGGACTGCACTCGCGAGTATTTTGCTGAGGCATTCTATTCTACAACTCTAAGCCACCATACGAGCTCGATGTCAGCAGGTATGCCACCTATAATGTTACTGAGGATGATATTCCGTCCTCACCTCTGGACAGCCTCCAGCCAACGAAAAGGCTATACACGTACATTGGCAACAACCTTGTATTGTACTGGTGCGCTGGCCAATCTTCGTGCCGCCAGCCAGCCATCCATGTTGCACTAACAGGGTCATAGATGTGCCACCGGGGACGCTCATTCAGTACAATGTCACGGATTCTGGTGGTATGACCGAGTAATTCCTGGGGGTTTAACATGGCTCGATATGCCCATCTTTAGGATCACACGTCGGCAGCACGGCGATTACTGTCCAGGTGAAGAGTTCATTGCAGGTCGTCGAATTTTCAAAAGCAACTTAGATTAAGCCTTAATCTTTCCTACATCAAGTCCAACCCTGTCTTATCTGCGGGCTCTTTGCTATCTATAGCCGTTAGTAAAAATCCGCAATTCTTCACGTTATCGGGCTTACCTCCCCGGATCCCCAGTCAACACTGTCCTTGGTTTCTGTGTCTTCAGTCAGCGTAATTTCTGCTAGCTCTGCTAGTCCCCAGGTAAAAACTGCATGTTTTTCAATGGGAAGTCACCATTCATCCCTATTCCGGGTCCATAGACCTCCAGCAACTCTGATCCAGCATCCACACTATCCCTATTCAGAACCTCTAACCCTTCGTCTCCGACACAAACACTCCCACTTTCTAAAACTCTCAGCCCCTCATCTCCGACACGAGCACCTTCGGGCGGGGGCAACATCACTGGGACAATAGCCGGAGGCGCTGTTGGGGGTGCTGCCGGCCTGTTGCTCATTGGCCTCGTGGCTTTTTTCTTGTTGAGACGACGAAAGAGTGATTCCAGGGAGAGGCGCAGTGCGTTTGAAGCGCCAAACACAGGTTATCCTGGTGCCCACGCCACCCAAAACATTCTGGTCCCTCAGGCTGTTCCCTCGCTGTACCCGAGTGATGCTCCAGAGCCTCCAGGAGCTTCTATCTTCCAACGGACAGTGACTGGTAGTATGATGACGGCCAACGAGGGCGAAGAATATCAGAGACACATTGCGGTGGATAGAGGTGGATACGTTCGGGTCAACAATGCGAGAGGATATCCATCGAAACCAGGATTGGGCTGAAGCATACAATTTTCCAACCCCTTTGCTTGCCATCATAGACCTTCTCACTCAGTCTCGGTCCCGTCTCTGCATCGCCAGCGTCTGGAGAATGCTCGATGCCACCCAGGCGGCCGTTTCTCGTGGTCATTTCTCATGGTCGGCTATTCCTCAGGACATCGCTTGTTACTTAGATCCAATCTTTATTACGACTTACACGCCCACTTAGATGTAAATGTGATCCGTAAAATAGATGCCCTTCAGGCTTCAAGCTTGGCGGCAGCTTTGATCCCGCAAGTCTATTGCTTATATCAGCCTTGGCTTCGTGCGTCAACCAGCGATGACGATTGGGTACAAGTCTGAGTCGTGATGTGTGGTGGAAGTGTACATTCTGGAGCCTGGTATGCGGTTTATCCTCTAGGGTGGTTTTGCAGATGAGCGACTCGCTGCTCACTGTCGATCGTCCTGGTGCATACACATGGGCTGGAACCCCAATGCACTGGCACTTGCACCGAACTTGACACCGTGATTGCTTGATTGAGGTTCTTTTCCTCATCTCACTTCCTTCTCTGAACACTATGTTGTTTCCTCTAGTAGCGGTGGTGCTCGTACCCTACGCTACTGCCCTCGCTATGGCGTGGCCAAACCTTCCTCCGCAGGGAGCGAACCGCTCTGTTCGGTGGTTGGCATTGTAATGGTATTTTTCCGAGACACTCGTTAAGGCATTTTCTTGTGCTGCCCCATGCAAGACACCAGTGAATTCGAGGTTAACAGGTGTGGCACCTGTGTTGTTGAGATCAAGGACTCATGATAATCATCTCCTGAACCCAATGAAAAGGCTCTACACATACATCGGTGTATCGTACTGGTATGCCGACGGATCCTCGTAGGGTCATAGGTCTGCCACCGGGGACACTCGTCCAGTTCGGATTCTACTGGTATGACTGAGGGGGACGATGTATCTGAAAGCCCACCACAATTTATCCCGGTGGTCACCTCCGGTCGCTGCCCAAAACACACCAGACCCTGTTCCTTCGAATGATATTGTGGGCCCTGCAGGAGTTTCTGTCTTTCAAGGGACACTGGGTACCATGATTACGGCGCCCACCAACCCAGATGAGGAATATTACAATCGTGTTGTGATGGATGGGAGTGTGTTCATTTGAGTTAACAATACAACGGGAAAACCATCGACACCAGGATCTGGCCGAAGCATACAGTCTACCAACTCCTTCGCTTGCCATCGTGAGCTTTTTCACTCGATCATTCACTTCGCACGATCTCTATCTCTACACCGTCAGTTACTGGACTGTATTAATTTGCGCCCCGTATCTTTGATGTTCATTACGTAGAATGTATTCACTGAATGTTCCAGGGGTCAGATCAGGCAATGGGGCGGATCTTCATATGTACCCGTGCAACGCGCGCGTGTTGGAGAACAGTATGATTTAATACATCGAGTGCGTACATGGCTGCCGATCTGGCTTACTAAGCTAGGTACAGTGACACAACACACAACACTACTGATGCAAGGGAATAGCACAACACTATGGAATACCAATCGGCAAATATGATGTTCAATAGATAAGCCACCACGCTGGCGGTCTATAAATTAGTGCAACAACCAGAAAGATTGTCCACAAATCCCGAAATGAAGAGTGTCATACTGTCCTCATTCAAAGGCCGGTGAACAAGGTGCTTTGCGTCAGCCACAGGCATGAGGATTCCACTCGGCTGACGCGCGGATAGTGGGCGATACGCTGATGTCCTCCATATAGCAAACTTGAACATCTGGTCGTGCCATGGGATGTCTGTAGATGAACACAATCAGGATAGTCAGGAACCCCAGCGCAAAATGGGAACACATGGTCGACTGACTCTGTCAAGATATGCTCTTTAACTTCGTCCTCTGTGGGGAAGTCGGCATGTACCTCTGCCCACTGCCAAATCACGGGACAAAGACAGCATCTCCACTTGGGTCCAATAATTCGAATTCTCATTTGAAGGATCGCCCGTTCCTCCGCTTCTCTGATGTAGCGTTGCCTTTCGTGCTCGCGCAGAATGCGCCATTTGGTGTGTTGTGGTTCTTGATCCTCTTTTACGTGAGCAGGAATGTGCTGATACTGTAGAGGGAAATGGGCTTGGGATCCATGAATGAGTGCTCTCTAACGCTTACCACTCCTTGCCAGGTATACTTTGGGCCGAAACCTTTTTCATTTGCACAAGTCATGCATTCAACTCGAATTTCCGTCGCGTCGAGTTGGGGAACCGTCATTGTATCCGGATCCCAGCCACCTGAGCGAATAATGTCGCTGATAATCTGAGATGAAGTTGCGTCGAATGAAACGGGTAGTGGATCCCCAATTTGAGTCCCCAGTATGTAGACAACGTAATGGAAGTGCCTGGAAGAGTGTGCATAGGGTGATTTGAAGACTGTACGAGCAAGTGCGAAGGTCTCCTCCGGGGTAGCAAGGCGAAGCTCCTCAGGAACCATTTCATATAACTTCTCTCGTATTTCCCGCGAGTAATGGTGCGCAATGGCCTCAAACTTTTCGGTGATCACATCTATGGGCATGTCCACGAAAGACTCGCGCCGTTTGATAATCTCCGTGAAACGTTGATCCACGTAATCCCTGGTAAGTGCCTGATGTAACAACGATCAGATCAAAACGATATTTACGCTGTACTAACAGGTGACAAACATACCTCTATCGTTTTATTCCGGTCGAAATGAGAAGGAGAAGGCCATATTGCACCCATGGGATCTCGACTGCAGTACCATTCCGCGTATTTACGTTGTACAATTTTCTTCAGGGACTCGGTAAGTCTGCAATGCTTGTTTCGTACGAATTCCTTCATGACTTCGATCGCATTTCCCTTTATGGAAGACCAATCTATAGGGTGACAGATGTTAGACGAAGACGGACCCCGTGTCCCTCCGCAATCGCTTGTGCGTACGCTGAGCACTGAGCAGCTTCGAGACTCGGATCGTGCGAATACGGCTTAAATTTGCTTCATCGACTAGCTGCGGCATGAAGCCTTCATCCTTAAGCTTTTCGCGCACGCTGAAGAGTTCTCGTGAATAATTGCAGGCGCAGATTTTGTGAGAACGATACTCACGCAGCGATTCGTGTTTGTTGAACGGATCGAAGTTCAGCCCTTCGACTACTGCGGTACGAATCTACCCACTGACGGCATAGTACCGCATGCTTGATAGAAAATTGTGCACTGAGCGGAGGATTTTCCATGAAGTGAACATGCAACCTACGGCGGACACACTTTGCCTCAGTTCTTGCCGTTTCTTGATGAATTTCCCCAGTCCCTCCTTGTCTTGTTTTTCGCTAAATGATTGAAACTCTCTTTTGAGATCCTCAAATTCAGAGCGTTTACATATTTGTTTGTGGTATTTCCCTCCTTCACCTGCAAATAGAATCAATGGGTTTGAGGAGCATGATTAAAATGTCTAGACACACAGATAACCAAGGAGAAATAGACAATGGCTGTTCTATCCAATGGGAAGGGAAAGGGCCAAGTCTCGCCAAGGACATCACACCAATCCGGGTCTTGATCTCTGCAAAGCCATAAGGATTTGAATAGCACTAGGCAATGCCAACTTACATAGAGTTCCGACATTTCATACACCAACGTCTACGCAGATCCCAATCAGTCGAGTTCGTCGACACTGTACCGCATTTCTGCGAAGGGCGGTCTTAGTAAGTGTAGATCTAAATTATGCGTCTTACCTGACAGTGTACACCGAAAGCAAGGAGGGCGTATTTCTGTTCGGTAAGGTCGTGTGGGTATGATAAAGGGGGGAGATCTGGAACGGCTTCACGCGCTAGTTTCCAAACCCAGGTGCCAGCGAGACCAAGTAGGTATCTGGCGAATACTTTTCCAGACCGAGCGAGGCTGAGAAGGTCTCGGGGACTGACGTAAGAGTAAATCTAGACATTGGGGGGCGGGGGGGATGTGAGATGTGAGATGTACAATATAAAGAATGGGACGTGAACTCACCTCAGCCATGATTTCAACTGGCATTCTGTGGAGGTATTTGGCTAGCCTTCCCTTGCGAATACGAGCAGCTGCAGCCAGTTTGTGCCTTCTTGCCATACGTGCGGCAGGTGTTTTCCTTCCCGGCTTAGAATCGTCTGTAGATGGTGGCGTTCGCGCAAGGCCGAAATGAAATGGTGATCAATCACTGACCATAATCGCTATCAGAACCAGGGTAACTGTCTTCCTCTGCGGGCTGGATCTTCCTGACACATTTTCGGGCCGGTCTGTTGCGTTTCATCGAGTTGATCGGTTCAGGAGGCACATTCAGGCAGCCTCCGCCGGAAGGCAGCAGGCTATTCTCCGCCATTCCCCAGGCGTTTGTTGGCTGCAACACAGGCGCCAGTACGAACTTCTTCCGTCACCCGCTGCAGGAAAAACAATATGACGATGGTGCAAAAGATGCGCGCGGGTCCGTTCGACGGTTGTGAAGCGAGCACGTGCAGCTGGATTCAATTCATTGTGGCAGCAGTTGATTTCTCACGCCTTTCTCCTCTGCTCATGATGCTGCCACTACTGGCCAGCTCAGCAGCCTCAGCATCAGTAGCTCAGACGAGAAACCTAACATGACAGACAGTGAAAACCGCGGAGGCTCTGGATGAATTGACAGGAAGGGTACCAAGATGGCACATAGCTAATGACGTCCACAATACTGATTGGGGGTACCGCACTGGCTCTAGCCTGTTGGGCGTAGACAAGTTGATCTCAAGTGCGGGCAGTACGTTGAAATCATGGAACCATTGCAGTGCTGTCTGTTCGTACATGTTCACCTCCAAAATTGCCTCTGCCTTTGCATTCACGTTCACACCCTCGCTTGCGTTTCCTGATCCCACTCCTGCACCTCCCATCGTCTTCGTCCTCCTCGCTCTCCTTTTTCCTGTCTGTGATCAGATAGTGTTTAAGTCTGGAAGCAGTTGTGTTGTGTTTATTGATAATATGTAAGTAAAATAAAATAAAACAAATCAAGTATGCGAGCGAACCATTTCTTCTGGTCAGCACATCTCGAGCGCACATCTTGACGTGATTGAGACTTCGAGTCGATGAGGTCGGGCACGGTTTCATCGGGTCCAATCTGAACAGTGTCGTAGGAGTGTCCAAGGAAAGGTAGTAAGAAGCTGAAATGTAGTTTTCGATCTGATCATGCCCCAAACTGGCTCATAGGGTTGAAGATTGCGACAGGACCAGGAAAGTCGGAACATCAGTTTGGGCTTGCAAGGTTTGAGTAGGCGGAGGTGCGGGGGGCGCGCCATTGTTAAGCTTTCCTTGCCGTTTGATACGCATCATGAGCTATTGATTATTACATTGGAACAAAAGCCTCGCGAGTTCGGCCAACCAAGTGGCTGCCAAAATGCATAGAATTTCATTGGATGGAGTACCATGATTTAGTACATTTGATAGTAGTACGATATAAGCGCCGCAGTTCGGGATGCTATGTTCCCTCACCACTTACCGTACAACCAACCTTACTCGACAATTGGGTTGTGGGTCTTTGCCACATGGCGGAAAGGGTCCAACTGAGCCCTCATTGCCGAGGCAAAATGCGAAAAAGCTTCCCGATCCGCCCAGCGCAAAGATCGGTTGAGAAGAGTAGTCAGCTCCGGTTCAACCTCCTCAATTAAAGGGTATGTGGCACATGTGTGTCCTCGAGCATGGATGCACCATCGAGGGGGTTCCTCCTCTTGGGTAGGCATATAACCTTCCCATCGACGCTCAGGGACGTCCGGATGCCGTGCGGGCTCAAAGGTGAGTTGACACAATTGTCCTTCCGCTGATCCAAAACGAGAGTTGTTACCCAAATCCATGAATAACAACACAGCCGATTGAGGTTTCCGGCCTTCGATCTGAGGCCCAGCAAGCTCCAAAGGGATGGTGGAAGTAGATTTATCAACGCGCAGCTTCGATCGCCAAGCTATGTAACTGAACCCTTCCAGTTCAAAGGGGTCATCAAGTGATCCACTGTAAGTAACAATGAATCCGTCGATACAGGGCTGTTTGGACTTGCACAGAAATGCGGCACCACGGCACCACGCATTGCGGAGGAAATCAAAGGATAAATTGTCGATGTCATCCGTCAGCTGAAATATATGTGTGAAGTTGATGTGAGTGTCGTCCATCTCTTTTAAAAGCTGGTGGCCTCGATCATTGGGGAGCAACCCCAGGTTTTCGCCAAGGAGGGTGGTCAAGAACACACTAGCTGATACGACGGGAACCTGCAGGAGCCTACTGAACCTACTCGCCCAATCCCGCGCAAGGGTCAACAGAACGCGGCTGAATAATTCGTTCTCATATCCTCGCTCGAGGATGGATTCGTTAATTATTACTTCATTAACCAACGTGTTGAGAGCTTTCTTGTACGCCTCCCGCGATGTCATCAGCTCCTTCATGGCCGCGATCGCTAGTGGTGGCTCAGAAGGGGTGACCGTTTTAATAAGCGAGGGATCAATAACGTTCTTCAGGATTCGCATATGGCTGCGGACGCCTTCTGCGGCAAGAATAGATCCAGCTTCGTTCGAAGCAAGTTCGAGGGGAATCGTTGCGAAAATGTTGCGAGGACATGTTTAACACTAGAGGGATCGAGATAAGGGGTCCCTGAGCGCATGTACAGTTTGTGTTTAGTCACAGCTATAAAACTTATTGAATCATAGGTGGACCAGTACTGCGGTCAAATGCGATGCAATGTCCCAAACGATTAGGTATGAGAACGACAGTGTAGGAAAGGCGAGCATACCGGGCGGCCATAACGTATTAAATGGTTGTACAACAATGCATCTCCAGGAGTCTTCGCTGATGACTCAACCATGACGTCAAAACCTAAACGCACCCAAGGCCCAAGCATCATGAGCCGCGTGTCCCGGACTGATGGAACTTCGAGGCATGCATCAAAAAATTGGGCAACCATAGGATCCGTATCGAGGAAAAGAAACCAAAAGTTGAATTTGTCAATGGGAAATTCGTCTTGAGCCTTAATCATCCGCAGAAGTGCTAGTAATGACATCCCATAAGCGGGAGATAGGGACCTCGGGTTAGTCCGGACGGCAGGTTCGCGTGTTGAACCCATGTTGGTGCATTCGTCGAACGCAATGATGAACTTATCATGCTTAAGACGCTGGAGATCAACGGCCAGATTCTTTGCCGGTTCCAAGCAAAAGTGCCGGTACAGTTCTTTACGCCATTCACCAACCCCACGAAGGTCATTTTCTACGATGATCCTCTGTCGTCGAGCCACCAAATGACCTGGTAGGGTTGTAAGGGACCGATAAGCCTCCTCGAGTACAGATTCAAAACACGCCCCACGCAACGCAGATGCGCGTGCCCAGGCACCCATTTGAATCTCGACATCCTCATCTGGATTACGACCAAGGCCTTCGCATGCCTCCTTGAAAAGTGCCCCAAGAAGGGCAGCGGCTATTTCTTCACCCTAACAGGATCGTTCAATTTGTCATCCTGACCTCCATACTTAACATACCAAACATCGTTCGGTCGATTTTGATTCTACCCATCGACACATGGCCTCATCTCGTGGAGGCCAGCCAGCCTCTGGACGGTTCGAATTGCGGAAGCAGATACTTATGCCAGGCACCTAGAGCACAAATCAGTACGGAGCACAACTGGAGTGGTCTGCTGAATCCTGATTGTGACACACCTTTTTCAGCACTTCTGCTACGAGGCGTGATTTCCCCGTTGCACTCGATTGTAGAATGGGAATACTGTGTCCGTAATGCGCGTCGGCATTGTACATCTCGCCGTAAGCATTAAGGGCTTGTAGGAAAATTTGAGGCATATCTCCACGATAATTCCTACGAAATGAAGACTCGAGCATGGCCCGCAGTTCCTCCCTAATCTGGTTGTTCAGCCAGGGTGCACAGTAAACCAAGCAGAGCGAGATTTACGTGGACATGGTTAGGGATTGACGCCACATTTCCCTATCGGATAGTTGTGGTTCATAGTGCGCGCCAGCTGGCCAAAGAACCTCTAATCAAACGATGAGGTAAGGAGACCGAGACAAAGAGGAACTACGAACCCAGACGCTGGACTTCTCTAAATGAGCGGGCTTCCAATGAGTTCTGTAGCATGTCCACCATGTAAGGGTGTCCAGAGATGAGATCCTTTGCTTCTTGGAGTGTGAGGCTTTTAAGCCTCGGGTCGTCGTTGGTGATGACGAAGAGAAGTATGTGCAAGGAAGGCTTCGTCCCCAATCGCTTCAGAATTGCGCTGTCTAGTTCATGTTGTTCATCGCTAGGTAGATCGCCGTCGAAAGATGTTTTCTCGTGGCGTTCTGAGTCCAATGTAGCAGCCATCCAGCGAGGCACTATAACAGGTGAAAAATCGATCGAGGGACAAGCACCCTGTCGGCTGTTTCCGCCATTGCTCAGGCAAGCTATTAACGTAGCATGATGGCTTTACTTGAAGCCTTCACCGCGTAATAAGATCTAGAGAGTGTTTGGTTTCTTATAATATTGAGGCTGGTGCCCTGCATCTGTTTCTACTGGGCCAGTTCTCTATTCCAATAGAGGCTGGTAGCCCAGCTCCAACCTCGAAGTAGTGTATTTAGTTCCTAAAATGGGCTGGACTATTTAAGTCTGTAAGCACGTGAAAGGATTTTCATTACATAATTTACGAATTACATGGGGGACCGATCGGTTGAAGAGGGTACTAAGCTGGTCTTTGACGTCTTTGATTTCAGGGTATGTTTCATCTGTGTGTCCTCGAGCATTGATGCACCATCTATAGGGTTCCTCCTCTTCGGTGGGCATATAGCCTGCCCATCGGCGTTCACGCGCCTTCGGATGATGCGCACGCTGAAAGCTAAGTTGACACAGCGGTCCTCCCTTTGATACAAAGTGCGATGTGGTGCCCAAATCCATGAGCAGTACCACTGTCGATGAAGGCTTCTTGCCTTCAATCCGAGGTCCAGCAAGCTCCAAAGGAACGTCAGAAGCAGCGGGATTGACACGCATCTTCGACTGCCAGGCTATGTAACTGAACTGGTCCTCTCGAAACGGGTGATCAAGCTTTCCACTGTAGGTAACAATGAACCCGTCGATACAGGGTTGTTGGAACCTGCATTGAAATGCGGCTCCACGGCACCACGCTTTGCAAAGGAAATCAAAGGACAAATCGTCGACATCTTCCGTCAGCTGGAAAATGTGTGTAAAGTTGATATGCGTGGTGTCCATCCGTTTCAAGAACCGCTTCCGCTGAGGATCTGTGGGGGATAACCCAAGATCCCGGCCAAGTAGGGTAGTCAAAAACACCTTAGCCGATATCGTAGGGACCTCTTGCTTTTGAGTGAACGTAGTTGCCCGATCCCGTGCAAGAGTCAACAGAATGCGGCTGAACAGTTCGCCTTGATATCCTCGCTCAAGGACGGATTTGTTGACTATCAGGCCGTCGACGAAAGTCTTGAGGGCAACACCGTATATTTTCCGTGATGCAATTAACTCTTTCATAGCCGCGATCGCTAGTGCTGGCTCGGAAGGGGTGACCGTTTCAATAAAGGAACGGTCAATAACTCCCATCAGGATTCGCATATGGCTGCGGACACCTTCTGCGGCGAGAATAGACCCAGCTTCGTTCGTTGCAAGTTCGACGGGAAATCGTTGGGAAAATGTGGCGAGGACATGATCAACACTTTTGGGATCAAGATAGGGTGGATCTGAGCGCTTGTACAGCTTTTTTCTGGATGCGTACAGGAAACTGGGCGCATCGTAGGTTGACCAATACTGCCATCAAACGCATTGCAATGAATAAAGAACGACAGGGTAGGAAAAGTGGGTCATACCGGGCGGCCATAATTCCTCAAACAGTCGTACGACAGTGCGATCCTGGGAGTCACTGCAGATGATTCAACCATCATGTCGAAACCTAGATATGGCCAAGGCGGAAGCATTTTGAAAGAACCGTGCCGGGCTGATGATACCTCGTTGCGTGAATGAAAGAATTCGGCAATCGTGGAGCTCGTATCGAGGAAAAGGTACCAGAAGTTAATGCCTTTGATAGAAAACGGGTCTTGAGCTTTGATCATTCGTTGCAGTGCTAACAATGATATCCCATGAACTGGAGATAGGAACTTCGGGTCAGTCCCGGCGACACGTCTGACGGCCGAACCTGGCGGTTTGATGTTTGTGCATTCGTCGAAAGCGATGATGAACTTATCATGGTTGAGGCGCTGAAGGCCAATGGCCAGACTCTCCACTGCTTTCAGGCAAAAGTGCTCGTACAGGTCATTATGCCAGTTATTGATTTTGCCCGCATCATTCTCCGCGCTGATCTGTTGTCGTCGATCCACTAGATGTTTCGGCATTGATGCAAGGGACTGGTTGGCCGCCTCGAGAACTAATGTAAAGGACACCCCACGCGACGTAGATCCGCGTGACCAGTTAGTCATTTGCATCTCAGGACCGTGTTTTGGATTGTGATCAAGGCGTTTGTGTATCTCTTTGAAAAGTGCCCCAAGGAGGGCGGCAGCCATTTCTTCCCCCTAAAGGGGTCGGTCAGTGTGCGTTGTCTTAGCTTTGGCAGTTAACATACTAAATAATCGGTCGATTGCACGAATCGACACATGGCCTCATCTCGTGGGGGCCAGCCGGCCTCTGAGCTGCCAGTGACCAACTCGCGGAAGCAAATACTTAGACCAGGCGTCTGGAGCATAAATCAGTACAGAGCTTGACTAGAGTGATCGGTTGATTGCGATATACCCTTTTTAGCACCTCTGCCACAAGGCGTGATTTCCCCGTTCCGCTCGACTGCAATATGGGAATGCTGCGTCCATAATGAAAATCGCTATTGTACATCTCGCCGTAAGAATCGAGTGCTTGTAGAAAGGCGGTAACACTATCGCCGCGAAAATTCCTACGGAAAAAAGCTTCGAGTTGGGCCTGGCGTTCCTCCCTAATTCGATCGTTCAGCTAGAGTGCACAACAAACCAAATAGAGAAGTATTTACCAGGAGATGGTTAGGCGTTGAGTCTCTTCTTCCGTAGCAGGTGGTTTATGCGAATCAGGCCGAAGGATTTCTAACCAAGCGATGAGGCGGAGAATTCCAGGTCAAGGACTACCAACCCAGACGCCGAACTTCTTTGAATGAGCGGGTTTCCGATGATCTCTGTAGCGCATCCTTGAGATACGAATTGTTGGAAATGAGAGCGCTTGCTTGGTTCGGGGTAAGTCTCCTAAGGTTCTCGTCGCTGTTAGTGATGCCGACAAGAAGCATGACCAAGGGATCCTCTAACTGCCGAACGGCATTCTCCACTTGATCGTCGAGTAGATCGTCATTCAGCGATAGACGAGAGATCTCGTCGTGGATTTCCGAGTCTAGCGAAGCGGCCATCCAGGCGAGACTTTGCAGCAGATGATGGTGATCTGTCGACTGAGATGATAAGCACTTGCTCGGCTGTTTCCACCGCTGAATCTCACATTTTCTTTTGCTTGTCCGTTGACGGAGATATCCTATCGTGCCTGTACTGTGAGGATGTATAGGCGCTCAGTTCACGATAGTGTAACTGAGGGGGAGAAAAATAGTCGCGACAAGTGGCTTTTAAGCCTACAACGCCGCCTATCAACAAGAAAGACTAATGGGCAATCCTTGGTGGCTGGTAAGTCCGTGTGCCACTATAGTGGGACGTCGACTTTTCCTCTAACATGTGCATCGAAGTTTGGGACGTAACGTGGGGACGAACACGCACTGTATAATATCCGCAACATCAATGAGCTGAGTTCAGCTGATAGACCGAGTATACAAAAGCCATATGTCATAACTTGGACGTGATCATGATCATCGCTAATATTTGTATGAAATGAGTTACCGAAAAGAATTTCTGCATTTGCATGCTGTCTTTTGCTTGTTGCATACTTTGCAGACATTACATACTTTGCACGCTTCACACACTGTGGCAACTTCCCATAGTTCCCACACTTCCCATTTTCAATAACAAACAAATTGCTTCCGATCCAAGTCACATGTGGGTTCAATACAGAAAGTCGCATGCTACAGAGTGTGGCTATTTCCGCAGGGTCAAACACAAGTCCAGGTTAATGTTGGGTGGGGTTAACTAATTTTTTTCTGGGTTGGGGAGATTTGAAGAAATTAATAGCCAGATAGTGATGGAGCACAGCCATACTACAAATTCCGGAAAAGGTGATTGGACTTGTGTTTCAGTGTTGAGCACAGGTCACATTGTCCGAAATCCGAGGGTCCCATCTGTCAGCTGAAGCTGAGAACTCATCTCATTTCGCGGAATAGCCACACTCTGTAGCATGTGACTTTCTGTATTGAACCCACATGTGACTTGGATCGGAAGCAATTTATTTGTTATTGAAAATGGAAAGTGTGGGAACTATGGGAAGTTGCCACAGTGTGTGAAGCGTGCAAAGTATGTAATGTCTGCAAAGTATGCAACAAGCAAAAGACAGCATGCAAATGCAGAAATTCTTTTCGGTAACTCATTTCATATATTTGGGTGGAAACAATGGACCGCCGAAGTTCGAGCACAAATAGCACGATGCATATTGAGGCATTGTGTGATGCATTATCATGTCTACGGAACCTCACAAGTCTAGACCCCTGAGAATGACGTATTTGCTTGTGTAAGGGCTCATTCCCCCGCGCATTTCAAATCCATTGTGCGCCACGAGGTTGAGCCATCTTACGCCAAGGTGTGTCGGTTCGGGTATCTCTAATCTGCAGCCACAATCTCCTGCACGTGCACGTGGGCACGGGCGCTACCATTCAATATTGAACAATGAACATGAGGAGCACATGTAACAGGCCTGTCTCTTGTGCGCACGTCTCCAGCCCTTCCGGATGACTCTGCATTTTGGCCATTTCGAATTTGGTACCCCGGTGCCAGGAGCGTCTGTCTTTTCGGTTTCACAACCCGAAATGCCTTATGCGAACCATCTCAGCCTCCACACAGAATAGATAAATCCCCACTCTCACATTCGTGTGGCAAACACCGCAATCCGTTTCCCTGATCATCCCACCTGAGATGTCTGCGGAAGAAGAAAAATGTTGCCTCTGAATGGCCGCCATTGCCATTCAAAGGAAAAACCAGGTCGTCAAAAAAAGGATGGGACAAGATTCACTTTGCTAATGATGTTATTTCGTACCGCGACGACCGATGGAATGCATCTGCGTTTGTGTTTGTCACGTAATGGTCTCATAATGATGATCATGTCATTCCACAGTCTAGCCCAGGCTTCGACTTGTATTACTCTGGGTCGGTCTATCATACATGTACCCATATTGAACGGCTCTTTGATGTTGCAGTACATGCTCATTCCCACCAATGATATACATGCACGGTAGGTCAACAGACAAGCAGAAGGAGAGGGTTGTTTTTTTTTAGGTTTAGAGGCGGAAATAGCCGAGCAAGTACTTGATCTGCATGGATGGCTGCTTTGCTAGACTCAGAAATTCACGACGAGATCTCTCATCTAAGTGACGATCTGCTCAAGGATCAAGTGGAGAATAGTACTCAGTAGTTTCTGGAGGACCCCTTGGCCGTGCTTCTTTTCGGCATCAGTGACAGCGACAAGAACCTCAGGAGACTCACCACAAGCCAAGCAATGGCTCTCGTTTCTGACAATCCATTCCTCGGGGATGCACTACAGAGATCATTAGAAACCCGTTCATTCAAAGAAGTTCCGCGTCTGGGTTGGTAGTCCTTAATCTGGGTTTCTCCGTCTCGCCGCTTGGTTAGAGATTCTTCAGCCTGCCTCGCGTGAATCGCCTGCTAGAGGAGAAGAGCACCAACACCTGACTACTTCCGGGTAAATTCTTCCCTATTTAATTTGTTGTTGCACTATCGTTGAACGACCAAATTAGGGAGGAACGTCAGGCCCAGTCCACTGCCTTTCTACAAGCACTCGATGCTTACAGCAAGATGTACGATAGCGATTCACATTGCGGACGCAGCATTCCCATGTTCCCCTCGAGCGGAATGGGGAATTCACGCCTGGTAGCAGAGGTGCTGAAAAGGTATATCGCAGTCAACCAATCACTCTAGTCGAGCTTTGTACTAGTTCATGCTCTAGACGCCTGGTCTAAGTATTTGCTTCCGCAAGCCGAGTAGTGAAGCTGGGTGGCCTCCACGAGATGATGCCATGTGTTGAGTCGTGGAATCGGTCGATTGTTTAGTATGTTAGCTGCCGAAGCTAGGATGACACACTGACTCACCTTTTCAGGGGGAAGAGATGGCGGCCGCACTTCTTGGGGCAGTTTTCAAAGAGGTATATGAACGCCTTGGTCGTGATCCAAATGACGATCCTGTGACGCAAATGAGTGCTCGGTTACATGGATCTACGTCGCGTGGTGTGTGTTTTACGTCGGTGCTCGAAGTGGCCAACGAGTCCCTTGCATCGATGCCGAAACACTTGGCGAATCGACGACAAAAGATCAGCACGGATATTGACGTTAACAATATATATAACTGGCGTAATGGTCTGTACAAGCACTTTTGCCTGGAAGCGGCGAAGAGTCTGGCTATGGGCCTTCAGCGATTTAAACATGATAGGTTTATCATCGCATTCGACGAATGCAAAAACATCAAACCTCCGGTTCCGTTTCCCGAATGTGTCGGCGCGAGGACTTTATCTCCAATTCATGGGATATCGTTGCTAGCATTGCAACGGATGATTAAGACTCAAGATCCATTTCATACCAAGGGTTTGACTTTTGGTTCCTTTTCCTTGATTCAAGCTTCACGGCTGCTGAGTTCCCTCGATCTCATTCACGCAACGAGGTATCATCAGCCGGGCATGCTGCTTTCTTACCGCTCCCACCTTGGCCCTATTAAGTTAGTTGAATCATCAGTGCTCACTCCTAGTGAAGCATTGTCGTCCCGCTGTTGAAAGATTGCAGCTGCCTGGTACGACTCACTTTTCCTACCCTTAATTTTATTCATTCGGAACATTTGATGGCAGTATTGGTTAACCTATGATGCAGCGAATTCCCCGTCTCTCAACACGCGTTGTGACGATGAAACTCTCCAGGCAGGATCCCTACCTCGGCTTCGGGTTTCGAGAAAACGGTCGTCTTGCAAACCGGAATGTCAGGAACGGCACGTTTCTGAGCTACATATCTGGGCTATTACTTAGGATATTGAGGCCTGGTCTAAGCAACGGGATCAATAAATCACTTTCTCGTGCTTCGGTCCCACTGTCCAGATCAAGAGTTAACGATGGCCTTATCAACCTGATGAGCACAAAGTCTCAGCTGCATACTAGTCCCGAAAGACCCCGAATAGCAGGATTGGAGAACAACCGATATGTGGTTGAACCAGTCAGAATCAACACCCACCATGAACACTCAAATGAAAGCCGTCTTTATACATGAAAATATGAATGTCTAGTCACTTAAATGTGGCGGGGAGCTTTGGCAAAGTTCTTGTTTGTTGGTTCATGTTTTTGTCTATTGTCCCTTGTACGGCGATTTTGCCGTTGACTGTAGGCAGGTGACCAGCCTCCCTGCATTGAGCATTGGTAACGGCGACAGGGAGGAATGGAGGCTCTGAGATATATCCTGTCCCTCCAACAAACAATTCTCGTATTCAAGTCTGTGAAAGTGCCTATGCCACTTTCAACACATTAAGATCGCTCATGTCGCAGTGACGACAGGTATTGGCAGAGTGAAACCCGGGGGGGCAGGGAATATTACTTTATTTTCTACGCCATTAGGGCGGTGAAGTTTATCACGAACTCCAGCCGAGCATGCCTGCGCGCTCAACAAGCTCTTCTTGCATGGTCTGTCAAATGAAGGCTCATTGATATTGCAGTGCCCGTCCTGACTTTTAAATACATGGACAGCGGGACACGAGCAATGGGGAAAAAAAGCATCACAGTGAACACCGCAAAAGAACTAGACAACTTGGCTAATATCGACAACGATCGGGGCTCGCATACGACCTTGGACCAAGAATCGAGTCCCGTCTTTGCTAGCGCAAGGAAGGTAGAGGCCATTATTCCTCAGTATTCGATCCCCGTACCATACCTCTTGACTGTTAATCTGGTGCTTGTTAAGAATGATCGGGCAGTATTCTGGTGGGAGAAGCAGTTCAAGTTTACCATTGAGCCAGATCGTCTGTGTTCTGGCCTCACGTCTTTCCCTAGGGATGTAGGGGCTGCGGACACTGCCGGGATCGTAGGGGGGGTCGGGATCGGGATCGTAGGGGTTGGGGTCGGGGACGGTGATATAACGAGACTGACACATATCCGAAGCCTGTGTGAGCCTTGATGGGAGCTCGCGGAATAGTAGCTCTAGCCACAATTGATCTGCATCATGCCCAGCCACGGGGCTCGAGAGAGGGATGTCATTCTCCAGGTGCAAAGGGATTTCTGTCCGGGTTTCGATCATAAGATGTGGGAGAGGGTATGTGTTGTAGGAGACGGGAAATGTGAAACCAGACTCGCCACAATGAACCAACTCGTGCGTCTCTGTTGACCAAATAGAGATATTATTGCCATCATGGACGACGACGTACTGTCCTGTGGGGGAGAGTCCAAGTGTGCAATGGTTAGGCATGGATGACCTGGAGGCCCGAGAAGAACGAGGAGGGGGAAGAGGGTGGATGGTTGGTTCATTTGAAACATCTAAGATCGCCAAGTTTTCGTACCAACTGCGGTCAATGTTCCGAGGAATTCGTATGATAAATGAGCCGTTGTCTGCGACCAGAGTCACGGGGGGGTGATACCCACTGGGGAGGGTACCGACCTTCACAGAGGGCAAACCATGGCTGAAGACTATGATGTTTCCCACATTATCTTCAGTGGCAATCCGGTGGCTGCCACAGATAAACTTAATCCAGACCGGAACATTAGGTGGGTCACATTGGAAATGAGTGACGGTGTGTTGATGGTCAATGTCAGCAACTTCAATGACGCCGTTTCCAAAGCCGAGTGCGATGTAGCGGCCATCTCGTGAGAGTGCTGCAGCAGTCACAATACCATTACGAATATCGGGATCAAGAAATTCAGCCTTGCGATCAATCCTGTTCATCTCATCCATCTCGAATCTACCAACCTCTATCGGTAACGCGCTGAGTCTCGCCTCCATAACCCTCTGAGCACTAAGAGTATCCCTGCTTAATGGGATTGAGTGGCTATAGGATTCTCCAGTGATGCTGAAAATCCGAATGGGATCAGAGAGATGTCCATATGATTTGAAAAGCGGGGACGAGGATGGAGTGAAGGGAAGGATTGATCGATAAATATGCCAAGGGGAGGAGGTGAGTTCGTTTTCCGTGATGAAATCCTTTACCCTCTTGGCATCTTTTAACAATTTAGTCAAATTGTGATCCTGCAAGGCAAGGTGATGTCATGTCACTGAAAAGGATTCGGTAGGATTCAAACCTACGTTTGATTCAAGGAATTCATCGGGTAACTTGAAATCAACTCCTGACAGCGCAATGAACGAAAGTAAGTTTTGTGTGAGAAGGGTGTCAAACTTCCTCCAGAGTTCATTCGAATTTTGTGGGGACAACTTCGATGGGTCCAAGTGGCAGAACAAGTAGTGGAAAGCATATTGAACATACTGGGGTTGCTCCTTGATTTTAAATCCCTTCCACTTCTCGCTATCTCCTAGAGGGTGTACTTTGGGTTCATTCTGTTCGATGACGTTATTGACAAGTCGGAGGAGTGGCAACCCCAAGAAATACCCCTTCGAATCACTGATAAAGAATGACCGATCACTTTTACGACCAATCGGGTGATCTGCAAGGAATTCCTTCATTGTTGCATGATAGAATGTGGGGTATAGCGCGTAGGAGAATGATTCTCGCCGGGAAAATGCTACAATTGAACTGATTGGATTCAGGGTTGCACGGATTTCGTCCTCAGGCACTCCTAGTAACTGCGACATCGAACAAAAACTGAGCGGCTGATATGCACCAATCATCGTCCCAATCACTTGGCGGTAATTCTCCATCACGTATGGACGAATACTAGATTGATTGGACATATATGCTCGCCGCAGTATTCGCAAATACTCTGACTTTAGGTCAAGTGGTGCATCCGTAAGATCACGAAAGTACTCAAACTCCAATCTGAGAGTAGAACCACGTTGGGTCTGATCATAGACATCACGTATGCGGATTGAGGCCATAACAGGCAATCCACGGCAAGCCGAAGCAAAGGCATCAAAATCCTTCGGGGATGGCTTCCACGCAGATTTCTTGACACAATCTTGAAGGCCCTCCTCTACCATACAGCGGACTGTGTGCAAAGTCTCCTCTCCAATCTTATCAACATCTTCACATGGGATGTTGAAACCTCCACCCTCAGCATCAACCCATGCTGAGATGACCTGCGGTTCTGGGCGAGAACTGACCAACACGGTAAATGTGGAAGGCAAAGCATCGAGCATCAGCACGAGCTTCATCAAGGTATCGAGTGCTCTCTGATCCCCACACTCATCCAACCCATCCAAGATGATGACGAAGCGGTCCTTGCTCAACAACAGCAAGTCCTTGAGATGACCCATGGGCTCAACAACCAGAGTCCCCATTTGCTTCTCTAGAGGGAGATTCTGCACGAGCTCAAGACCTCGCTGCCGAAGATGTTTGACAAGTGAGAACTTGAACTCCTCATTGAAGGATGCGAGTTGATATGCAAGAGTGGAGGGAAATTGTTTAATAGAATCGAGTCCCGTCCCCGATTGATTCTTATCCCAAAAGAAGGATGCAGCTAGGGTGCCCTGGTTCTTGAAGCGGGACGCAATGCTCAGGCAAATCGCAGTCTTCCCCATTCCAGGTGAGCCTCGCAGCCAGATGAATCTGTTCCCTGGTTTCCCCAGAAGTTCGACTATAGATGCCTGTATCTTCTCCCGTGTACCTTCAAGGCACTCTGACTTGGCTGTAACGTAGGCATGCTCAGCAGCAGCCCGCGGGAGTCTTGAGAGTTCGGCTGCAGTGGCCTTTAGTAAAAAGTCCAAACCTCGTACAATAGAAACCTGCCTCGCACTGAAGACTGAATTGCATGAAGAAGTGTCAAAATCGCTGCCTCCGTCTATGGGGTATGTTTCAATCAGCTAACCCGTACGTTCTAAACGCAAAGGAAACAAACCGAGAATGATCTGACAGCCTTGTTAATGCAGGCCTTCACACCGTTTAGGTGCTGCGTTACATTGGATGCCAAGACTATTCTCTTCGCAAGCCTTTGATCCGAAAGTTCATGAATCTGCTTCGTCTGCTCGTCCAAGGCCCTGGGTACGGGGTTTGAACTTGAGCAAGCAAGGGGAGAAGCGAAGGCACGCACGAATGGAATTCCTCGATGAGAGCCCTTACTTCGGGAGGGACTTGGCCCGTCCACAGTTGGAGCGGTCGCAGGATGGTGGTATAAGCATTATGAATATCATCGCTTAGCCCTTTGAGGTTCTCGCTATTACTGTCAACAGTCTACATAAATCAAGATTGGACAAACATAAGCCCTATGCCACCACCGATCATGAAACTCAAACGTTGCTCAAACCTCGTAAACTTGGAGAAATGACAGAAGTAAATTTGGAATCTCTCCCAGAAGCGGAATGGGAGAAGCCTTGAGAGCTAACGTAGCGGCCTGCAGAACGAGCTTCGCGGTGCCAATAATAATCGGTTTCTTTCCATCACCAGCTGGGGCAGGCGGTGAGCTCGGTGTTTCTAACACATCTGAATCCAATCCCATGCGTTCTAGTTGTGAGTGGAGACTTGAAGTGGTGTCAGCGGCGGTCTGGACGCTGGGCATTGACCGAGGGTTACCGTCAACATTCTGTTCAGAATAGAGACGGGGCAGCCGCGGGGTGTCAGGAGCTGGATGAAGACGTGTATTTGCCACAGACGGTTCCGGATGGGATGGAGTTGACCCGTGACGTTGATTGGAACTTGACCATTCCCCAAACCACTTGGTTATACGGCGGAGTGGTGATGTCTCCGAGCCGCCAAGGCTGCGGGAAGACGGCGCAGTTGGCACGATCGCAAGAGATCGCTCGGGGTCATCATGTCCACTGCTGCGGAAATCGTTGAGGCTCTGGGTTCCCTCGGGACCGTTGATCTGGATTTCAGGTGCGGGCCCGGATGCGCGCGACGATTGTGGAGCTCGAGAAAAGAGGTGGTAGGCGGAAATTTTTTCTTTCGGACGTTGAGAACTAGATGGCAACTGATCTCTTCTAGACATCACGCTAACGGCGTGGACGATAGTGACGCGGGGATCGAAGTGTGAAGCCCGGAAAGAAGCACTCGAATTAAGACAAAGACCAGCCTTGCATTGACCACGATGCAAAGCACAAGTACTGATTGAACGATCCTAGTAAAGTAGTGTTGCCTCTTGCGTCGCCTTGATCGGGAACGTGATGAGTCCGATGGCGATACGGGCGGGCAACTTGTACCAAGTCCCAGATAGGCACGAAGCTACATTCGGACTGAAAACGCCGAAAGGCCACGGCTTGTACGTTTCAATTTGAGTTGGGATGTTGTGCCGTGGGTATCATTATCGGGAGCATAACTTCGGCCGGGTACCGGAGAGGTGTTCCGTACCTGACATCCGCGCTCCCCCCTCACAGCGTGACTAGCAGACGCTCACTCAGTGGTTTCATGCTACGCTCGCTTGGGTTTCGGTATCGGCAGGGTCAATCTGTAAGGATAAGGCCCCTTATAGGATTCCGCACTGTCCCCTGGCAAAAGCTTCCGCGTTTCTTGAACGGTTTCCCGACACATAAGCGACATCTATGCTAGCTGATTCTCCACCAGCCACCCATCCCGCGTCCCACTCTCTCGCCCTTGAACAAACACCATCTCAGTATTCTACTGGTTGAGCTTTGCATCGATGTGCATATTGTGCTTCATCCCAAATGTAGAAGGCTGCTGAAAACGAACAGAGAGCCCACGTCCTCAAGGATCACATTACTCATTCTCCCTCATGCAGTCGTTTCCTCCGAATCCTATGATAACTACAAATGACGATGAGCCCTGCGGAAGAGAGGCATGCGCAGATGCAGGGCTATCCATTCTCCATCATTACTTTCCTTTCCCGATACCGAATTTCAGATGGACCATCGCAGCGGTGGGGGGAATTCCCGGCGTTTTAGAGGTCTGTGGAAGGACGACGACTACCTTGGTGTTATCGAGCCCCTCAGTACGGCAGTGGAAATGTTTTTCACACACCCTGAGTACCCACTGCAAGCAGAGGCATCATATCCATCGCCTCTTCTTCCTTCATCCCTTCCCCCAACATCGCTGGCGTCAAATGATGCCGCTGCTGACGCGGATGACGTGGACGCGAACATCACCAGGGCGATGACGAAGGTTGGGCGCCGATAAATGCGTCAGGCCAGAGATAGTTTCGCGCAGACAGGGGGCGAGATACTATGCGGCATAGACTATTAAAGATAAAGGGTGGTGCCGTACGCCAGCCAAACCAGGTATTAGGAATCAATCAGCGGAAGACCGACTGCCGCGGTGAGAAATCACAGTGGGGGCGAACCGACGGAGCTGCCCTCCAGGGGTGAACTAATTTTGGGCACTTGGTGCGGCTTGGCACAACTACTTTGTGTGGACTTCATCCTCAAGCAGCCGACCCAGCGAGGCAGCGCCAATAAAGTCCCTCGGTTCCACAACCGCCTACGACCTTACATAATCGGAGTCAGATAATCCGCAACAGCCCGACTCAAATCCGTGGTGAGCATGATAATTCGAGATGCTATGTCCCTACTCGACAATTGGGTCGTGAAGTCTCTGGGTCATTGCTACATGACGGAAAGGGTCCAATTGCCTTGGCAAAACATGAAAAAGCTTCCTGATCCGCCCAAGGCAAAGATCGGCCGAGGAGGGTAACGAGCTCCAGTTCAACCATCGATACAAGGCCGTTTGGACTTGCACAGAAATGCGGCACCACGGAAGCATGCATTGTGGAGGAAATATTTCATGGCGGCTCCAGCCATAGAGGAGCAACTCCAGATTTTTCGCCAAGAAGGGTAGTCAAGAACACACTAGCCAATACGATGGGACGCGCTGAATGCTATTGAATGTACTCGCCCGATCCCGCGCAGAGTCAACAGAACGCGGCTGAATAATTCGTCTTCATATCCTCGCTCGAGGATGGATTCGTCCATTATTAGTTTAATCAACAAACGTGTTGAGAGCTTCCTTGTGTGTCTCCCCGCAATGTCATCAACTCCTTCAAGGCTTCGATCGCTGGCGCTGGCTCGGAAGGGGTGACCGGTTCAATAAACGAACGGTCAATAACTCCCATCAAGATTCGCATATAGATAGCTGCGGACGCCTTTTTGCGGCGAGAGTAGACCCCCGGCTTCACTGGTCACAAACCCGATGGAGATATTGTTGTCAAAATGTGTTGTAAGGGCATGGAAAACACTTTTGGGATTAAGATGGGGTGGCCTCAAGCGGTTTTGCTCGATGTAGATGGGAAATTTGGTTGCATCATAGGCTGACCAATACTAGTATTGCCAGGATAGAGATGATAACAACAAGGTAGGTAGCTGTAATCCTTGAACAGCTGGACGACAATGCATCTCTGGGACTCACACTAGCGATTCGACCCATCATGTCATGGCCATGGCGGGAGCGGTAAGAAAGCAGCATGTCGGGCTGATGATACCTCGTTGCGTGAATGAGATCGAGGGAACTCGGCAGTCGTGAAGCTTGAATCAAGGAAAAGGAACCAAAACTCAAACCCTTGAATAGCAAATAGATCTTGAGTTTTGATCATCCGTTGCAATGCTAGCAACGATATCCCATAAATTGGAGATAAAATCCTGGTGCCGACACGTTCGGCAAACGGAACCAGAGGTTTGATGTTTTTGCATTCGTCGAATGCGATGATGAACTTGTCATGTTTGAGTCGCTGAAGGCCCATTGCTAGATTCTTCGCCGCTTCAAGGCAAAAGTGCTCGTACAGATCATTACGCCAGTGATAGAGATTGCTAACGTCAATATCCATGCTGATCTTCTGTCGTCGATCCGCCAAGTGTTTCGGCATTGATGCAAGGGACTCGTTGGCCACCTCGAGCACCGACGTCAAAGACGCACCACGCGACGTAGATCCTTGTGACCAAGCACTCATTTGCGTCTCAGGATCGTCATTTGGATCACGACCAAGGCGTTCGTGGATCTCTTTGAAAAGTGCCCCAAGGAGTGCGGCTGCCATCTCTTCCCCCTGAAAGGGTCAGTCAGTGTGTCATCCTAGCTTCGGCAGTTAACATACTAAATAATCGACCGATTCCACGTATCGACACATGGCCTCATCTCGTGGGGGCCACCCGGCTTCACTACGGAAGCAAATACTCAGACCAGGCGTCTAGAGCATAAATCAGTACAAAGCTCGACTAGAGTGATTGGTTGACTGCGATATACTCTTTTCAGCACCTCTGCTACCAGGCGTGAATTCCCCATTCCGCTCGAGGACAACATGGGAATGATGCGTCCGTAATGTGAATCGCTATCGTACATCTTGCGATAAGCATCGAGTGCTTGTAGAAAGGCAGTGGGCTGGGCCTGGCGTTCCTCCCTAATTTGATCGCTCGGCTTTAGTGCACAACAAACCAAATAGAGAAGAACGTACTGGGAGGTGGTTAGGCGGTGATGCTCTTCTTCCGTAGTAGGTGATTTATGCGAGTCAGACTGAAGGATTTCTAGCTGTGCGATGAGGCGGAGAAACTGGGACCAAGAGGGACTACCAACCCAGACGCCGAACTTCTTTAAATGAGCGGGTTTCTAATGATCTTTGTAACATATCCTTCAGATATGGATTCTGGGAAATGAGAAGCTTTGCTCGTTGAATCGTGAGACTCTTAAGCCTCTCGTCGTTGAGAGTGATGTTGGAGAGAAAGGTGTGGGGGGAAGTCTCCGCATGTAATTCCTCCAGAATGAGGTTGTCCAGCTGATCGTCGAGCGCATCGTCACTTAGCGACAGACAAGAAATCTCGCCGTGAATTTCCGAGTCTAGCGAAGCAGCCATCCAGGCGAGACCTTGCAACAGATGATGGTGATCTATCGGCTGAGAGATGACAAGCACTTGCTCGGCTGTTTCCACTGCTTGAAACACGTGGGGATGAACGTGCACTCCAACATCGATCAATATATGTATATCGGCTGACAGACCAAGCAATACAAGTTGAAGCTCGCATGCCCGTATGCGTGATGCGGGTCTAGCTGGGCTGGAGATCATCACCTTCGATACCGATCGCTACAAGAATTTGTGAATCGATCATGAATATTTCCTGTTAATGTTCCAAGTGTGCTTCGCAATGACGGGCAGCGACTCTAATCAACCTCCACTTTATTCTCTACGCCATAGGGGCGGTGAAGTTTATCATGAACCTCGGAATTATTTTCCATTGTATACACGGCATCAACAACTGGCACAACTCGCTCATGGATCACCCTAGTAGTAAGCTGGTTCGATTTTCCAACCCGGGCACTGAGTGTCCCAATTAATTTCGGACTAACCAGTCTGGCGCTCATTGTGTCCAGGTGGCTAGTGCATGAGAAGACGAACGCCCATCTGACAGATCTCCGTTTCCTCATTGCAAAATGCTACCGTTAACTTAGGAATGTGGTCGATCGATCGAACCTCTCAGTGCTATCTCAAGTTTTCCGCCATAACCTGGACAGGCATCAAGCAGTCGAGATAAGATCGGGTTACGTCCAACTAAGGGTACGGCCGTAGCTCATGGAGGCGCGGCCGCTTCGCTCGTGCATGGCACACAAATAGGATCGGTTACTCAAATCCAGGTGATCATCTCATAGTACTATTCACTGTGGTAACCGTTGCTTCTATATTCCAGAGAACACAGATGCAACTACTCAGGCGGGCTGTGGCAGCCGCGTGAATGATTATAAATAACGCTTACACCGCCATGTGGCACTAACCGCAGAGCGTTTTCGTGGACGTATTAGGGAGCACACGGTAGACTTTCTGTGACGTAATTGGGCTCCATGTGCCGTTGATTTCAAATCCATTGTGCGCCCTGCGCGCCCCGATTCATATCCTAACCTCCTATTTCACATTGTGACGTATATTCTTTGCTGATTGCCGCGCCACGGCACATTCGCCGAAGAACCGTCATGTACGTATTCGGCTGCATCTTTACAATATTGATCGTGTTTTGGGATATGTATAAGACGCTCGTCTTCAATGGATTTCACACCTGAGCCCAAGGTGTGTTAATATTAACTAGGTCCAAGTTCAGATACTCGCACAATGAAGACTAGCATCTTGACCTCCATCCTTACCGCCGGTTTTTTCCTCCTCATCTCCCCAGCTCTCGCCCTTGTCGACAGCATTTCCGCACCCACAACCGTTCTCCACCCAGGTCATAAATTCACCGTAACATTCCATACATCCCTCTACATCCAAAACAACCTCCAATTCTACGCTCTCTTCGGGATATGGCCTGGATCCGGCTTGGGTGAATCATCTTTGGGAATTCCTGTTCCAGCAGTTGCCCCCGTCCCCGGTGCAGATGGTGGACTAGGATTGGGTAACTTTCAAGTTGGACCCAGTGGGAAGGGAAAGCTAGGCATCGATGTTGGTGGGATCGATTTGTGGGAAGCAACCTTAGCGAACACTGGGTCGAAAGCTTACAACGTGACGTTGAGATTACCTGTGGATTTGACGACGCCAGGAAATCAAACGACCAACTATACACTTCAAACGGGTGTGCTTGGGACGGTATGTGATTATTCCCCGCTTCACGCATTCTTAATGAACGCATTGTATCTTCTTCCTTATTGCGTTCAAATCCTGTTCACACTCAACGACATCATGTTTACCGGCTACCCAGGTGGGAGCATCCGGACTAACAACACTGACCTTTTACAACACGACAATCAGGATCAAGTCTCCCTAATATCTTGGTGCCCCCAATAATATCGACGCAAATAGCCGATTTCCTTTTGTCGGAGGTATACTATCAGCTTCGGTTCGTTTAGGTCTTTAGACACATGCGATTGGCACAGCTCTCATGCATGGACCCCCTTTCCATCGCTCACGAACGGAATGGACGTTATATTTGGATTCTTCTATATTCACCCTTGTATGCACACGGCTCGAATGGAACTCGGATGCATTGGACAATGTATTTTTGGAATGAGGCCGATCTTGAGCGAAAAAATGCAACCTCACATATTGTTGATCCCGGGGATCGGTGGTTGGCGAGTGCCCCGGGAATGGTGGTATTATATTGGCGTAGAACAGGGATGACCATCCCATTCCGAATGACCTGACTGATTCTGTAGGAATAACTCGCCCGGAGCGCCCGATGTGTGCATTTGCTATCACAAGCCTGGGGTGTGGGTCTCCATGCAGATGTGCCCGGGTAATCCCAATCGGGGGACGATGCAGAAGTTTATTGGCATTCTGCGGATGGAAAAGGGACGAGGGAACAGATAGCTGATGTCTGAAGAATCGTGATAGTATTCTCGGATGGGTGAAGAAGATCATGGCTAGTAGAGGAGAAAGCGAATGTACTTGGCCTCGCGATGACGAACGTGCTGAGGCCTGGACAAGACACCTCTGGTCAAAAGTAGGTTCGAAACCAGATCGATGCAGACTGCTACTGCGCAGGATACAGTATCGGCTGACGGCGCAAGAACTGACTGCCGCGGCCAAAATGTCGGTGGGGGACGAATCGACGGAGCCCTCCACTAGTTGTAGTCACCCAGCCTTGATCGGAGTTCGCAGACAAGTTGCTCAAATTCGTTTTTTATGAAGAACATCATAACAGGTGTGATGATAATACAGCACTACAGTTTGGGTCGCTAAAAATCCCGCACCTTTGTTACACGAACAGCCGATGCTTATTTGACCTTGGATCCGGGAGTCTCTGCCAGACCTTTGCGTGGGTCCAATTGCATAACGAAAGGGTTCACCTCCTCCCCCATTTTGTCGGACAAAGCCCGGTCCATCCAGGGCGAAGATTGATTGAAGAGGGCGGTGAACTGCAAGCTAACCCCTTCGATCACAGGGTACGTGGCGTATGTGTGTCCTCGAGCATGGATGCACCATCGAGGAGGCTCCTCGTCTTGGGTGGGCATGTAACCTCCCCATCCATGGCTAGGGACGTGTGGATGTTGCGCAGGCCCAAGAGTGAGTTGACACAGTTTTCCTTTCGTTGATCCAAAACCGCAGTTAGTGCCCAGATCCATGAACAACACCACAGCCGACTGAGGCCTCTGGCCCTCGATACGAGGTCCAGCAAGCCCCAAAGTAAGGCCAGAAGTAGATGCATCAACACGCAGCTCCGATCGCCAGGCTATGTAATTGAACCATTTCAATTCAAATGGGTCATCAAGCGCTCCACTGTAGGTAACAATGAACCCGTCGATACAAGGCTGTTGAGACTTGCATTGAAATGCAGCACCACGGCACCACGCCTTGCAGAGGAAATCAAACGACAAATTGTCAACGTCTTCCGTCAGCTGGACGATGTGCGTAAAGTTGATATGGGCGTTGTCCATTTCGTTCAAGAATTGGAGGCGCTGATCATTGGGGGGCAACCCGAGATTCTCGCCAAGGAGGGTGGTCAAGAACACTTTTGACGATATCGTAGGGACCTGCTGAATGTTTTTGAATGCACTTGCCCAATCCCGCGCAAGAGTCAACAGAATGCAGCTGAACAATTCGGCTTGACGACTTCGCTTGAGGATGGATCCGTTGATCGTCAGGTTATCAACAAATGTCTCAAGGGCTCTTTTGTATGTTTCCCGCGATGTCATTAGCTCCTTCATGGCTGCGATCGCCAGTGCTGGCTCGGAAGGGGCGACAGTTTCAATATGCGAACGGCCAACGATGTCCCTCTGGATTCGCATATGGCTGCGGACGCCTGAGGCAGCGAGAATAGACCCAGCTTTGTTGGCCGCAAGCTCAACGGGGAATCGTTGGGGGAATGTTGCAAGAACATGGTCAACATCGATGGGATTAAGATACGGTGACCTTGAACACATGTACAGTTTCCTCCTGGCAGCGGACAGGAAATTAGTTGCAGCATACGTGGACCAGTACTGAAGCCAAACAGGATGCAATGTTCCATACGATTAGAAGTGAGAATGGAGTAGGGCTAAAGAGGCGTACCGGGCGGCCATAATTCTTTAAATAACTAAACGACAATGCCTCTCTGGGAGTCCTTGCTGGTGAGTATACCATCACATCAAATCCTAAATATGGCCAAGGTGGGAGCGTTGTGAGATCAGGGTGCCGAGTTAATAATGCTTCGCGACATGGGTGAAAAAACTCGGCAATCGTGGGACCCGTATCGAGGAAAAAGAACCAAAAGCCAAATCCTTCGATGGGAAATTCATCTTGAGCCTTAATCATCCGTTGAAGTGTTAATATCGACATCCCATAAGCAGGAGATAGGAACTTCGATCTAGTCTCGACGGCAAGTTTGAGCATTGAACTCCGAGATATGATGTTTGTGCACTCGTCAAATGCAACGATGAACTTATCGTGTCCAAGACGCTGGAAATCAATTCCCAGAATCTTCGTCGCTTCCAAGCAAACGTGTCGATACAGCACTTTATACCATTCATCGATCTCATCAAGGTCTTCTTCCTCGATAATCCTCTGTCGTCGGGCCACCAGGTCATCTGGCATTGTTGCAAGAGACCGATTAGCTGCCTCGAAAACTGACTCAAACGATACCCCACGCGACACAGATTTATATGACCAGGCAGACATTTGCGTCTCAAGATCGTCATTTGGGTTACGACCAAGGCGTTCGTAGACCTGTTTAAAAAGTGCCCCGACAAGGGCAGCGGCCATTTCTTCCCCCTAACGGGATCGGTCAGTGCATTGCCTTGGCCTCTATTAATCAAACATACTAAATACTCGACCGAATTTACGAATCGACACATGGCCTCATCTCGCGGAGGCCAGCTGGCCTCCGGACTGTTCGAGTCGCGGAAGCAAATACTTAAGCCAAGTGTCTGGAGCACGAATCAGCAGAGCCCAGCTGGAGAGATCTGTTGATTGCGACGCACGTTTTTCAACACTTCTGCTACCAGTCGTGATTTTCCCGTTCCGCTTGATTGCAAAATGGGAATGCTGCGTCCGTAATATAGGCTGCTATCATATATCTTGTCGTAAACACCGAGTGCTTGCAGAAAGATTTGAGCATTATCTCCCCGATAATCCCCACAGAAAGAAGCCTCAAGTTGGGTCCGGCGTTGCTCCCTAATCCGCTCGTTCAGCTAGGATGCATAACCGAATATATCGAAATTTACGGGGAGATAGCCAGACGTTGACACTCCACTTCCAGTGCAAGTGATTCATGCAAGTCAGGTGGTCGAAGGATTTCTGGTCAAACAATGAGGCAGGGAGACCAGGACCGAGAGGGCTACGAACTCAGACGCTGAACTTGTTGGAATGAGCGGATTTCCAATGATCTCTGTAGTATTTCTTCGAGGAAGGGCTTATCAGAAATGAGAGCCTTTGCTCGTCGAAGCGTGAGATGCGTTAACCTCGTGTCGCCGACGTTAGTGATGTAGAAGAGAAGGAGGTGCAAGGAAGGTTTCTTCAATTCATCCAGCTCCACTAGGACATTGTTATCAAATTGGCGCTGTTCATCGACGGGTAGATCGTCATTGAAAAAGAGTTCCTCGTGGGCTCCTGTGTCTAGTGTAGCGGCCATCCAGGCGAGACTTAAGAACAGGTGATGATGATGAAAATCTGATTGTCGACGCACTTTCTCGGCTGTTTCCACCATCGCCAGACTGGTTGCCCATATAGTGATCACTGATCCCAGAATTACGCCCCTGTTTTTGTATGCACATAGCTGCACTTGAAAGTTTAGGACAAGACTTCGGGCCCGTAATCCACTAGCTACCTGGCAGGCATAGCGACCTTACAGATCCTCGAGGCTTCATTGCTCAGTGAGCTCTATATAGAGCCAGAATTTGTACTGTGCCAGCTCCACTATCATTAGTTTCACGATAGTGCAACTCCCAACCTGCCAGAGGTAATGCCACAAGCCAGTGGTGTATGCTCACGGGCTCAAGTGACCGTACCAACACTGCAGAGCTTTGGATGCATGTTCATCCCCAGAAGTAGCGGTGGCATACTCAGTCTTAGAAGGCGAGCAGGGCTTTTGTACCACCGCTGTGGGGTTATGGTTATAAAGCATTCGTTGAGACGACGTCGGCGCAACATGATCGTAAGCGCTCGCTTACGATGCTTACGTAAGATCTCAGGAAACTGGCAGATCTCAACCTAAAATGAGCCACTCGGTCTGCTCTATCTAATATTACGAAGTCATAGAGGCTGAATTCTGTTTATCGATCCGACTCATTTCGCCACGACATCCATTCCCACTGCACTGCGGACCAGCACACTCATGCGTCTTAGCAATAGCCTAGGCTCACAATATATCTCTTACTGATTCTCGGGCTACGGCACAAGTCCCTACCCAAAGCTCTCACTGCTGATGCGAGGTAGTTTGTACATTCTCGCAGGATATAGATTACAACTGGGGTTATAACATAAGGAGCCCGACTTCGACGGTAAGACCCTTACTGGCTTCGAGCGGAGACGTGACGTGAGTGGGCTCGAAGTATGTTAATCAGGGTCAAAATTAATAGGGCGAGTTCAGATTCAAGCCCCAAGCCAATCCTGTACTTCTCATCACTACCATTTCCCACTAGAACCTCGATCTTCACGGAGAACCATCCAATTGACTCGCCTCATGTCATCGAGATACTCGCACTGCCTCTTTATGTGATGAGTCCGCCACAGAGCGTTGCTCGCGTATAAAAGAGTGAATTTTTGGAACTCCCTCACCTCTCTGACAAGTACTGTTGTTTTGACCGATTTATCCGTTGAATGTTAAACCGTCCTAAATCACGAGCGTCCAGCTGGAACTCGAACGTCGGCTCCGAGCGGGTTTTCCCATTCACACCATTCAGTCCGGTTGAGAAAAAAAAAGGGGAGAAAAATATTGACGTTGGCAGCTGGGGGTGGCACGTGCCGTTCGTCGATGTTTGTCGGAAAATCCCGTATATCGTTTGAACGCACGGGAAACATTTCATGGCGTTTATTTACAACAACTACCCAACAGCAGATGAGAATACATTGGTCAGATGTGGTGGTACTTTATGGGTTATATGAGACAGATTTTTGACGGTTTTGATGCTGTAGGAAGCATTTATGACACATTTATTAAGTTATTAAAAACATATTCAGAGTGTTTGAGGGGTATAAAAACGCATTCAATAATATCACAAAATGCCATAAACAATTTATCACAATGTTTAGATGCCAAAATTCATGTTTAAATGTCAAATTTTGGCATTTTAAATGTCAAGTCTCGTGCTTTTGATCAATCTCACAATTTTCCGACATTGTTGGAAAACTGGTCCTTGCGTTGCAACGCATCACATGGGTGTTACGAGAGCGTTACAGATTTTAATGATGTGTTATGAGGTGTTGGAGGAACCGTGTGCTATGGGAGGCCGGACGAGTTTTCGTACAGCCACATTCCCACATCCGAGCAATGAACTTGCCCGGACAGCCACATTCCCGCGGTAGCGTGACTACTTGGTCACAACACCTTTTCTTCTTACTTATTTTGGTCACTTCGGACCTATCCATGAAGTCCACAAACTATATTCATTCATTTGGATTAGTTTCCTTTTTCCCTCAGTTCTCGCGCATGTTAGAACCGGGCAGATTCGGACGACTCCAGAATGGAATCAGAGACTTAATGTGGAAGGACCTCGGCCTCAGCGACTCAGGCGGAGCGCTGTGCCATTGCTGGTTGTCCTAGGGGTCCCTAATTTCGGATCTAGCAGAGGGAAAGTCTCTTAGGGGGGAATTCATGTCGATTTCGGACTGAGGTTACAAGTTACTATGTACATTGTATATAAGGAGGGGTCCGGAATCAAAAGGAGCGAGGGTACTCCGAAAGGAGACAAAGGGAGCTGGAAAGAGGAACAACACCGAGGGTCAAGGGTTTGACTCAATGGTGTTTCCCAAAGGAGGAGTGAAGGGCCAAGGCCCAAGGAGGAAGGAAGGAGGTTGGGAGTGGGGAATGGCTAGCTGACTGAATAGAAAGGAAGCAGTAGCCCAAATAGGAATGAGGGAGAATAGCGGAATTGAGTAGGACAATGCAATAGTTGCAAGGTCCGAGGTAAGTCCGGAAAGTCCGAACTCGGAAGTTAAACTCCGGAATATTGGCAAACATAATTAAATGGAATGAGCTAACCAATACAATGGGTATAAGCGGAGGTGGGGTCAAAGTCCAAGGTCGGAGCTAAGACCGGAGGTTCCGGAGATGGAGATGCAAACGGGATTCCGGAGCAGAGGTCTGGAGTCGGGAGCATAGGTTTTGCATACTCGTCTGGAAGGTGTCGAGGTTGGGGTCGGACCCGGAATGTTCTGGAGTCGGACCGAAGGTGGTGTCCGAGCCGGAGGTGGGATAACCTCTTGGGAGTCCGCAAGGAGAAGGTGACGGAAGGGAAGTAGGACTCTGGAAGTCAGGTTCGGAGTTCCGGGAGCCCGGAGCAGAGGTCGGGATTGTATGGATATGACAGCACATTAGCTTGAGACTGAGGTTAGTTACAACATTCTTTTACTCTGATTTCTTATACATTGTAACTCATTGTATATTACCTTATAGCTTTAGCATTAGGTAATATTATAGTTCTCATGTATTAGCTTGAGACTGAGCTTTAGCATTAGAGCAAGCGGTTATTCCGTTATGAGGGTGTTATGGTTTTTTACGGGTCATAACAAGAGCGTATGAGGGTGTTACAGTTTTTTTACAGGGCATGACAAGTGATGGATTTTCATGATGTGTATGGTGGGTATGATGGGAGTGGTTTTTTTTTTAAAAACAATGTTACTAGGGCGTTATGCTCTTTTTTTCAACAACTTTCTGGAAGACTGACATAGGGAAACATTGTTGGATTCTTTCAAAGGTTTTGTAAGTGGAAAAACATATCAGGATCAATAACATCATTGAGTAAATAATGAAATGGGCAATGCTGATCTGTTATTGGGAGGTGTCATATCCTGGAATCCCGACCCTGCAAACTCCCACCACACCACACCTTCCTAACAACTTCACCATCCCCTACACCATGCCTCTGTCACGGCCGTGCATTCCGGCCCGTTAGCCGCCCGTCCCGATGCCGCCCGAGCCCGTTACCGCTATGCGAGCGTGAGCGCGAGCCCCGACCTCAGCCCTATCCTCCCTGAGGGCTCCCTGCTCACTCCCCCACTTGCCCCTAGGCTCCCCTACACTTGGCCGACTCCCCCACAGCCACACCGACCTCCCTGCCCCGAGTCCGCCTCTGGTACCGACCTAGCGTGACTCCGCGACATCGCCTACTCCGCTATGATACCATCGCCGCTATCGCGGCCCTACACCCCTTCGTTTATTTATCTGTTATTGTTTGTTTTGACCCTCGGTCATTGCCGGCCGCGGTGCGGCCAACCCCGCTCTTTGTTCCTATTTGCTTCCGGACCCTTCGGCCTTCGGCCCGGGTCCGCTTCTATTCATTCCACCTTCATATATATATCCTGTATACTACATTATAGTACCTTAGCTCTAATATCAACTTGACCACGACCCCAAGCCCTGACCCCAACAAGGCAGCCCCAGTAAGTTCGAAATGAGGGCCAAGAGACAACTAGGGGGCACAGCACTCCCTTTAGAGTTGCTGAGGCCAAATGCCCTACCCTCGGGCCTTGTCTGAGGCATCGCGGCCATCGCGGCCCTTAGCGGTCCGCATCGGCGACCTTCGGTGCCCGACCCCGGATCAGTATCTAACAGCCTCCCCACTCCCCAAGTCACCTTTCTTCCTAACTGTCTCAGCTCCGGTGTCAGAGACCAGGTTGAGATGAAGGAGTGTCTCCGTGGTGGAGGGCTTCGGCCTCAGTGACTTGTGCCAGGAGCACTGTGCCAAGTAACATGTCCATGCCCTAACTTACTAAGCTGGCAACCAGAACTGAAAGGGGGTAAACTCTAGTCGATTTTATTACTGAAGTGTAACCTATGTACAAGTTGAGTATATATAGTTATAGTTACAGCGAGGGTGGGTCTGCAAATGGTGGAGCAGAGCTAATGGGGTTAAACATTAGCTGATTGAATATTACCGACAAGTCGGGTTACGGGGTTAACGGAAAGGCAGGCGATAACCCAGAAACGGAAAGGAGGGATAGGCCCGAAGGTGGGCTCTGCAGGGCAAGCGAGTGTATTGCCCAGTGGAGGCGGGAGTGCGCTGGTGGACATCGGAGCTGTCTGGAAGCCTTCGGGGCTCTGTACTTAGGGAGGTGTAGGTAATAAATTGAAAGGAGGGGGTGGTGACCATCGAGGGGTACTGAGGGGATTGCGGAATACAGGAGCTCCGAGGTTAGTGAAGAAGGAGCAGAGGTAGACTGGAGGAATCGGAGGGATCGGAAGTCGATGGTCAGGGATGGATATGACATCCGGCCTGGTTGCAGCACACCGAACCTTGGCCACTCCCATCCCGGAAGCTCGGTCCCAAGTCGGAACATTCAGAGACTCTGGATTTGCTCCAATATCCCGATGGACCTCCAACATCCCATGACATACCCCTAAACCATTTCTCCACCCATTTCATTTATTGGAGTCACCCAACATCCTTCAGATATGCAACTCCACTTTTGGAGCTACCCACATCCTTTGGTGACCCCACTCATGTCATCACTTATTAGTCACCTTCCATTCATAGCATGACTATCTTCTTCTTACCATTCAGTTGGCTAACCCCCTCTTACCCATCTGTCGTTCCCATTCATTTTCCGGCCTCTTTGACCCGACACCTCGGTTCCCTGTTAAGAATATCATTCAGAACCTTTCGGTATCATTCGGTATCATTTGGCACCTTTCAGTGTTTTTCTATTATCATTCGGACTTTGACTAAAGTCCTTTCCATCCCTCCTTATAAATACCTGTAGATTAGAACTTGTAGTTTTTCCTTAGTTCTAATCTCGACTAAAATGCTACCCCAAGTCCCTCTGAGTGAATCCCGGCCCCTTTCTACAAGATACCTCAGACATAAGAAATACAAGGACTAACTGAGATGTAATGGAGGCACAGCACTCCCTCTGAGTCGCTGAGGCCACGTCCTTCTTAGAGCCTCTTGTACCATCCAGCAGAACCGGGCTTCCTGGAGAAGCTTCGGTCCACTACCAGAGCTCTCAGATCCCCTCTAGTTGAGCCCCGCCTGCATTCGGACTCACACATCTTTCCCCTACGATCCGGGTTTTTGACAGGAGGCCATTGATGAGCAAGTTGTTGGAGAAACTGTGGGTGCGGAGCTAGGGCCAGGCGAGTTTTCATACAGCCACAGTCCCATGGCCGGGTGAGGAACTCACCCGGACAGCCACCAACAATTGAGTTGTCCATACCTGATTTAGTAATTGGTGCCAACAACACATCTGCCAGATCTTTTTGTGAACATCTAGACAACAAATGCAAGTAGTTCTACAACTATCACTGCTCACAGCCATGCTCTCTGGTACCCTTGCCTTTCCCCTTCCACCATCCCAACCTGTCGCCTCATGCACCTCACACACCTTGCGCACCTTGTGCACCTCGCACAACTTGCGCACTTTGTGCACCTCGCACACCTCGACCCCAGCTCACAATTTCTCTTGTGGGAGTGGGGAGTTCTTCAGCTACTTGATGCTTACCAGCTAGAGCCTTCTGGTTTTGTGCTTGGCGCTGTGTGCATCTTTGATTAATCTCTTGAACTTCTGAAGGATCGGATTCCACCTTCGCACGAGGCCTAAGTGCTGGGGAATCCCTAGGCACAGAACAATCTCTGACACTCAATCTTGAATTTTCTGTTGCAGACTGTTCCAAGAGCTCACTCTCCAAGTCCCACACTGCAGCAGCATTGCTGGTGTTCACATCGAGAGCCCCACACCCATCATTTCCCCTGGTGGAACTATCATCTTTTGCATTATGGGTCTCCATGTTGTTGGGGGGTCAGCGACAGGATCACCATTGTCTTTGTCATTGGAGATCGAGGGCTCCGGTGTGCCTGGTTCACTAGGAATGAAGAGTGGTGTTTGAGACACTTTGTTTCCACCATTGGCCTGATTGTCCTGAATATGGCGACATTGTAAGCTTGTAAGATACATTAAAAAATTACCCACCGGTACTGATGTGCCAGCCAAATCACTGTCTATCATACGCTGCGCTTTTATGCTTGCTTCCAACTGCTTCTCGAAGTTGAATTCTTCTACACCAGTTTCATCGTTGCCCATGCTCTCAGAATCAGCTTGACCCGGCTTCATACTATTGCTGAATAAGAGGACATTGTGCCTTTCCATTGTCTCATGGAAATATTGTCGCACTCCTGGAGGGTAGGAATCTTCATATGCTAGAGTTTTGATAAGAAGCTTGCGCCACCGGTGAAACTTGACTTCAACATCAGCACGATCTTCAGGAGGTAAGAGGACGCTCCAAATCTATTCAAGCTTATTGGGCTACACATCATCGCAGACAAAAACTGCCTGCTCACCCCAATAGCAGCCAATGCTACGAGTCCTGGTGTAACTGCTGTAATTTTGTATTTTTTTGCAGCGCAATTTGCTGCACTATGTTCCCATGCAGAGCTCCTGAGAGAAACAGGTGCATCTTCTTCACAATTAAACAATGGCCCCCTTGATCCAAATAACAGCACCCTCATCCCCTTCAGGTCAAGGACATCACCAGTGTGAATACTTTATTGACGGACATGGATATCTTACCTCAACAACATAAGGTGAGTCCATGAAGAACTTTGGGTCAGGCTCTCCCGGGGGAAATAGGACTGGGGGATTATCAGGATACTGCCCATTTGCGTTTTGATTGCCTCGCAATTCTTTCGCTCTATCACACTCCCAGAGTGGTCCCATTTGCTTATTCCAGAATGTAAAGACAGCTGACCAGGTTGAGTGATTTTCGAGAATCTGGTGCTTTAGTTGACGTCGTACTTTGCAAATGCTGTCATTGATCTATGTCCCAACCCAATTTAGTATTGCATACAATGGATTCTTGAGCTGCCTACCCTTTTCTGCACTGCAAGATCAGGAATCCCATCCCTTATAGAATTTGGCAGCATTGGCCAGTCTCGAAATTCTCGTAGATGGCATTCATCAATGAATTCCTTGTCCCATTGCCTTTCAGGATCCCGTTCAGCACTTCTGGGGATCCGGAATAACCGCGATCTGAAATATGTGTTCTCGGTGAATGCGTAAAGATGGGCAGCTTTGGCAATGCTAAGTTCTTCATTTGTTATTTGGATGGAATGTTCCTTAGGCAATCAGGCCTCCATTAATGCTTCCCGGAGTGCAGCCTTTAGTCTTTCGATTTCTTGATCCTTAACCTCAATATCCTAGGAACCCAATACAATGGAACCTCAATACAAAGCAATGCCGGTGTTGTTACAACACACTTACTGCATGCAGCATGTCAACCTCAGACACATCCATCCTATCGAAAGGTTGCCGCTCATTCATTTCATTTGGACTTTGCAGGAGGGGCTGAGATTGGTGCTCTGTAGTCAACATTCTAGTGTACTTCTGATGTGAAAGTATAGTCCTCAAAGAGAAGATGTAAGAAAACAGTCGGGATTTGTGTTGGCACACACCCTTTTTATATTTGAGAAATAAATGCATTGAATCTCAAACTGCAACATCCATGCACAGGTAGGCACACTGCGGACAATTCCGATGGCTAGGTATATAACTGTAAATTTGTAAGCATCACATTCCACCCAATCAATATGCCCACCTCTGCCCTTTCACCTCACCGGGCACCAGAACCAGAGAGTGCCACACTAACCAACGCTGCAGCCCCTGAGCCACAGAACACTCTGGTAAACAGCCCTGCACCCAACACCGCAGCCTCCGAGGATCAGCCAGAAGATGAAAATTGGCCATCGGAGCTTGACCCAATCTCGCATGCCATGGTAGCAGGTTACATTGACCTTGTCTTGGTGAATGCATTTCGAGGTATGTAGGGCTGACACCAGCAGTGTTGCACAGTTGCTCAACTGCAATCCTCCAGCAACATGGTTTATTGCTCGGAAATTAGGTGTTTCCACATCTCGAGTATTGCTCCTGCCTGTTTTAGCAATTGCATGTGAAATGGACTTCAACATCTGGGGTAGTAGATTCGTGCTTACACCGAACCCAGCCGGTGGTGTTCAGGTTTGCCTTGTGCTTAAGGAGACATGTCAAGCCCAACCGAGTGGGGCCAACGATGAGGCAATGATGCAAGGGGTGAGTTCTTGAATCCTAAATTCAATTTCAAGTTGACTGACCACAAGACATAACCTTCAGACAGACAATAACCTAGATGCTGCCACAGCAGCTACTCCATCGTCAAAGTTGTTTGACTCCAGTCAGAAGTAGTATAGCACACCCTGTTTAATAGTTTTCCCCAAAATGTACAGTGCCATTGTCAGAGTACACCCACTTCCGGCCACTTCCAGCCTACTTACCATCATGATCTGATTCCATGATCTATGATCACCCAGATTCCATGATCCATGATCCCTGTACAGCCTTATGATCTGATCCCACTCCAAGATCCATGTTCCATGATCCATGATCCAACACAGCCAGACAAACCTGGATCATTGATCGTTGGTATGTACAGTGCCTCGTAGATTAGCTGTGTGTGTAGGCTACAGTATATTACACCCTGAGTAGCGAGCAGGAAGACCAGCTTTCTTCTCTCATTTCCCCTCGCTGCTCAGGTATGTTGTACATAGTAACATAGTGGCTGGAATATGACTCATTTCCCCTCGCTGCTCAGCTGGAGCCTGTGTCACCTAGCACACCTCGCGGTTCTCCTATTGAGACTGACCCAGACCTTCCTAGTCTTACCTCCACTTCCACTGGATCTCTTAACCTTAGCTCCGAGCAGCTCGGTATCCTGACAGCCATCCTGCACAATACTGCGATTCTGCAAGTGCGAGCATAAATTGAATAGAAAGGCACCAGTGATATTTTTATGAGCCTTGTTGAGCACAGGGTTACAACATCAGTTCAATTGTTGGAACGTGTTCACATGATTAGGCAGTGTTGGGTCGTGTTCTCACGGTTAGAAGGCATTGCAACACCTCTGGGATGTGATAATGTTCCCAGAAACATTGCAACATTTGAGCGAATGTTACGAGTGTTATAATGAAAACAGTCTCAGAAAGTGTTGTAACATGTTGCAATGGCAGTTCCCGGTTTTCCGACAGTCACTGTTACTGACTAGAGTGCATGCTTCGCATCGCTGCTACCTGCACAGCATTTGATCCAAGCATCATTACACAAACTAGTTACATAAAATGCTATGATACAGGAGATGAAGGCATGTGCGTTCTTGGATGCAACATGGAGGAGTTGGTAGGGTGCTACAGAGGTTCTTTGAGTGCATGAAGTTCAGTCAGTCAGGTATCAGACCAGAGTGGAGGACAGTGCTTACAGAGGGCACGTTTAGATGGAGATGCGGAAAGGTTTGCCAAGTCATCATGAGGTTTGGACCATGTCAGGGTCCGGACCCCAGCTGGGAGTGGCCGGAGGGCGAGGCCGGGTGTGGATGCTGGGGTACTCTCCCCAGGTGCTAACTCCTCGAAGTCGCTGAGGGGACTGGCCTCAGCCTTCACAGGGAATGAGCTGCTATTCATTGAAAAGCGGGTAAGTACACTTGCCTTCACAGGGAATGAGCTGAGAAGAAGGGTAAGCTTCTCAGCCCCCTGTGAGGCCGACACAAAAGGACCCTAGGAACTATACAGTTCCCGCTTGCTGCCGACTTTCCATAACGGGTGTGACCCGTGGGAAAGTTCTGGGCGAGCTGCTCGCCCAGAATGTTCCCACGGTTGTGGCTGTACATTTCTGGGCGAGTCGCTCGCCCAGAACGTTCCCACGGGTTCGCGCGCACGCGTCATTATGTGAAACAGTGGGGGGAAGGATAAGGGGAATGGGGAAATGTGGAGAGAGGGTGGTTAGGGAAAGGGTGAGGGTGTCTGAGGGTGAGTGGGGTCGAGGGCTGTGCCCTGACATCACCCCCCCTCTATGCCACTTCGCCTCGAAGTGGCTGATGTTCTTGGTTGGTGGGGTCTTCTGGTCCTTGTCGGTTTGGGGGCTGTGGGGTGGGCTTGGTGAAATTCCTCCACGAGGTCTGGGGAATGCTCCAGGTTCTCCCAGGGAAGCCATTCATTCTCCGAGTGTGGCCAGCCAGTGAATTTGACGAGGTACCAGAGTCGTCCATACCTATATCTGGAGTTTAGGACCTTTTCTACCTCATACTCCTCTTCCCCATTTACCACATCTGGGCCTGGGCACGGGTCGGCTGGGCGTCCTGTGATTTCGTCTGGGAGGTAGGGGCGGACGTTGGTGACCGAGACTACTGGGTGGATCCCCTTCTGCTGCGGGGTGAGTTGCAGCTTTACCGCTGCCGGGGATACTACCTTGGTAATTGGGAAGGGGCCGATCCATTTGTGGTCGAGTTTTTTGGTGGGCCGGTCCGTTGTGTAGTTCTGGGTGCTGAGCCAGACCCTGTCCCCAACTTTGTACCTTGGTGCTGCTCTCCGGTTTCGGTCATAGTACCGGGCCATCTCATCTGCTGCGTGCTCCAGGGCTGCTTTCGCCTCTTCCTGCATCTTCATCATGCGGGAGGCGAAGTCATCAGCTGCTTCGACCTCTGATGTGCGGGTTGGTTCAGTTCCCATGCGTGGGTGTTGCCCAGAGTCAAGCTCGAAGGGGGTGCGGCGGGTGGAGGAGTGAACACGGTTGTTGTACGCGAATTCGGCAAGAGGTAGCCAGTCGGCCCAGTCATCTTGTCTGTGGTTGACAAACATGCGGAGGTAGGCTTCTATCTCCTGGTTGACACGCTCTGTCTGGCCGTCAGTTTGTGGGTGGTAGGCCGTTGAGGGGGATAGCTTAATCCCTAGAAGGCTTGCCAATTCCTTGGAGAACCGGGAGACAAAAGCGCTTCCCCGGTCACTGAGCACTTCCTCTGGGAGGCCGTGGTGCTTCCAGACATGTTCCAAGAAGAGCCGGGCCACGCCTGCCAAGTCCATAGTGGTGACTGTGGGGATTGCGTGGATATGCTTGGAAAGTCGGTCCACCACCACCAGGATTGCGTTGTACCCTTTGGAGTCTGGGAGCTCACCAATGGTATCCACCGAGATCACTTGCCATCTGCGGGAGGGGATCTTGTTTGGGATTAGCTTCCCCACCTTCCGGGATGGGAAGGACTTCACTCGGTTGCAGGTGTCGCACCTGGAAACATACTGTGCGATGTACTGAGCCATTCTGGGCCACCAATAGTTCCGGGAGACGAGCTCCAGGGTCTTCCACCGCCCGGGGTGGCCGGTTGCCACTGAGTTGTGGTGGAGTCGCACCAGGTCGTGGCGGAGTTGCAGGTCTTTGGGGACATACACCCGTCCTCGGTGGAGGACCAGCTCCCCCTCCTTCTCCCATTCATCCGATCTCAGAGTCCCTTTCTCTAACTCCCTCAGCGCCTTCACTACTCCCTCATCTCTGTCCCTCCCCCTGCGTATCCTATCTAGAATGTTCGCCTCTTCCCCTTCCACCACAGCTCCTTCTGTGGCCCTGACTTCAAACCAGTCCGGGCGTAGGAGGGTCATGTCTGTGTTGTCATCCCTCCCCTTTGGGTGGTCTGGGCGACGGGAGAGGGAGTCCGGTTTCCCCATGAGTCTGCCTGGCTTGTGAATCAGGTGAAAATGGAAACGGGAGAGGTAGAGGGACCACCATGCCTGGCGTCGGTTCAGCCTTTGAGCTGCCCGGAAGTAAGAGAGGTTCCTGTGATCAGTGTATATGTCAAATCTCTTGGGGGTGCCCTCAAGGAAATGATGCCACTCCTCCAGGGCTCGGACTATGGCAAGCATCTCCTTGTCATAGATCTCGTAGTTCCTCTCTGCATCTGAGAAGCCTTTCGACATGAACGCCACTGGGTGGAACTCCCCATCAGGTTGGAGCTGAGAGAGCACTGCCCCCGTTGCGAAGTTCGAGGCGTCGCACTCTAGCTGGAACCGGCCTGTGTCTGATGGGAAGGTGAGGACAGGTGCCGAGGTGACAGCCTCCTTCAGCCCGTCAAATGCCTCCTGTTCCTCCTGACCCCAGGTCCACTGTTTCGATTTCCGGGTGAGAGCGTGGAGGGGTCGGGCCTTCTCAGAGAAGTCCTGGATAAAACGGCGGTAGAAGTTGACAAACCCAAGGAAGGACTGGACCTCTTTGACTTTTGTGGGTGCTGGCCAGTCCGTCACCCCTTGCACCTTCACCGGGTCCATGGCAACGTGGTTCTCTGAGATGACGAGGCCCAGGTAGTTGATCCTCCGCTGCTCAAACTTACACTTCTCCGGTTTGAGGAACAGCCTCCGGCTCCGCAGCGTAGTGAGGACCTCCCGGACTACCTTTCGATGTTCCTCCAGGGTGGCTGTGAACACCAAGATGTCGTCCATGTAGCAAATGACGACCCCTCGGTCTATAAAGTCCCGGAGGATGTCATTCATCATTGTTTGGAAAGTGGCTGGGGAATTGCAGAGCCCGAAGAACATTACCATCGGTTTGAACAACCCTCGGTTGGTTGCAAAGGCTGCCTTCCACTCATCTCCTTCTTTGATGTGGACGTTGTTGAAGCCCCACCGCAGGTCGAGGGCCGAGAACCATTTAGCCCCTCGGAGGCGGGTGAGGATGTCGGAGACGAGGGGGAGGGGGTAGGAGTTCTTAACCGTGATCTCATTCAGCTTCCGGTAGTCCTGTACAAGCCTTAGGGAGCCATCCTTCTTCTTCACAAAGAACACTGGGGCCCCCATGGGGGACTTGGATGGGCGGATCCGTCCGTTGGCTAAATTTTCTCTGAGGAAGTTGTCAAGCTCCCCCTGTTCTGCAGGAGATAGTGGGAAGGTTTTTCCTCGTGGCAGTTTGGCATCAGGGACGAGGTCGATGGCGTGGTCCCAAGGCTTCCGGAGGGGTAACTGATCAAAGGCCTCTTTTGAGAAGACGTCCCTGAAGTCCTGGTAACATTCCGGCACCACCTCCTCAAAGGGTTTGTCCCCTAGGGTGGTGTCCTGTGCCCCTTGGGCCATTCGCTGCGATGGGGTAGTGGTTGCCCTCAGATTGTGTCCCCATCCTGGGGGAATCACTGCCGCGTACACCCCATCCCCAGGTTCCACTCGGAGGTCGGGGTCCTCTGGGGTCACCGGTGCCACCTTAGGACTCTGGCAGGCGGGTGGGCAGCGGGACATGGTGACCTTTTGTCGGGCCCAGTCTACCTCCGGGTTGTGGTGCAGGAGCCACAAGTGGCTGATGATGACTGACTGCCGGCCCAGGTTGGTTACTGCAAAACGGGCTCGCTCGGAGTGTCGCCCGAAAGTGAGGAGTGCTTTGACCTCCTCAGTGATGGACCCGTTCTCATTTGGAGTCCCATCTACATTATGGACTGGGATTGGCTGGGGCAGGGGGGTGGTCTCCAGGTTGTGTTTCCGGACGAACTCGCGGCTGACAAACATTCCTGTAGCTCCGGAGTCCAGGAGGGCTGAGGTGGTGACTGAGGTGAGCGAGGTAGTTGTGGTCAGCCTCACTAGGAGGTTGAGGGATCGAGGGGGGTGTTTAGACAGCACATAGATTGCAGGTGGGGGGACAGCGACCTCAGCTGGGACCTGCCTTGGGTCTGTTTTGTTGCGGTTCATGGATGTGGCTCTTCTTTTCTTAGCGATCACTCGGTACAGCTTAGGCTGCGCAGTAGTTCTGGAGTTACCATGGTATCTACATGCAGGTACAGTGACGCTGGGGGACGACCGGGGCACATCTCTCACTGGTCGTCTTCCCGAAAATCCTCCACAGGCCTTCCCTCCTCTGCCTCCTCTTCTGCACCGTCAGGGTCTTGTGGGGGGCGGTCTCTTAATAGGTCCGCAATCGCGTGGAGGTCTTCTGGGGCCAGCCGGGTCTTCTCCTCCAGACCCTCTC